GGCCCGTAGAGGCCCTTATTTGCTTGAAGGCCTTGGCAGGGTTTTGCGGTGTTAGGGTTTAAGCTGGGGTTCGGGGTAGCCTCGGCCCTTTTCGGGCCTTCGGCACGTTAGGGCCCGTACTTTCTTGTGCTCTGATGCTTGCTTTGATGTTTTTAATAGGGTTTAAGCTGGGGTTGGGGGTAGCCTCGGCCCTTTTCGGGCCTTCGGCGTGTCAGGGCCCGTAGAGGCCCTTATTTATTTGAAGGTCAGGGAAACCCTCTGTGTCTGCTCTTGGATTCCCCTTCTTTAAGGGCCTCAATTAAGCATCGATTTCACTACCAAGAAATCGCATTTTTCATTGCGGGTACGGGCATCCTGGGCTCCCCCTTCTTTTAGTGGGCCTTTTGAAGTTTTTGAAGCCTTTTGGTGGCTCTTGGCGCTTGTTGGGGGCTCGTGCGATTCCCTGCAAGGGTGTTGGTGTGGGGGGCCCTTGGCCCGAGAGCCTTTAGTTGGGGGCCCCTTTGTTTGGGGTGAGTTTTGGGCCCTTGTTGGGGTCCCTTCCAAAAGCTTGGCCCTGCTGGGCCCAATGGCCCCGGGGGGCCCTTGGCTGCGGGGGGCCCTTGGCCGGAAACGCCTTTGGCCGGGCGGCTTGGCCCTGGGCCCTTGGCTCGGAAGGCTTGGCCCGGGGCCGGGGGGCCCTTGGTCCGGGGTCCTTGGGCCGGGGGGGGGTGGGGGGCCCTTGGCCCCAGGGGGTTTGGCAAGAGAACCTTGGTCTGAGGGCCCTTGGCCTGGGGGGCCCTTGACCCGGGGGGCCCTTGGTCCGGGCCCTTGGCCCGGAGGGCCCTTGCCCGGAGGCCGAAGGGCCCTTGTTGGCCGGGAACCCTTGGCTCGGGGGGCCCTTGCCCTGGGGGGCCCTTGGCCCGGGAGGCCCTTGGCCCGGGGGGCCGGGCCCTTGGCTGGGGGCCGAAAATCGCCCCCAAAATCACGAAAATGAGCAACCAGCCTGCCTGGACCCCTCGCCAGCCTCCTGGTCCAGGAATCCAGCTGCCAGGGGCCAGGGGGCCCCCGGCGGGGGGGGCCCGGCAAACCCTGAACCCAAAACCCTGAACCACCTCCAGAGGCAAAGGGTTACGATTTGGGGTTATACTTTAGCTACGCTAAAGGTGGTCTGGGTGCCGGCCATCCCTTAGCCGAGTACTGACGTTGTCGTAAAAAAGGCCGATGTCCGTTGGCCTGTCTAGGACAGACGGTGAGGCTTAACCCTCACCTTTCCGTTTCTCTTTTCGCTTGGGCGCTCGGGCTGTAAGGCCCTCGGCCGAGCGTTCGGGGTCTGTCGCTCGACGGAAGCGACCCCTCACTTAGTTTAGGGTTTAGGGTTTAGGGTTTAGGGGCGGTCCGGCGGTCGGGGCTCATAAGTTTTGAGGTTTTCGACAAGCATCTCAGGTTTTGAAAAAAATCAGGGGGCGCTTTACGGATTTTAAGGGGGTGCGTGTAGGGTTCAGGGCTTGGGGTGTTCTAGGTGGGGTCCGTTGGGAGTTCTGCGACGAGAGGTGCCGGGATTGAGAACAACCCCTGATGCCTCACCATCCAAAACCCTAGAAAGCCTGGATCTCTGACTCTCTCAACTCGAAGCATCTTGTCTTGAGGCTGCCCAGTAACCCAGGCTTAAAAAGGGTGCCCTTTTTTGCTTAAAGGGGTTTAGAACCTAAACCCCCCAAAAAGGGAATAAGGGTACTACTGGGCATCCTAGCCCACAAAAGCTTTCCTGGACCTTGCTGAATGGTGGCCTTTGGGGCGGGGCACTACGGGATGCAACCTCAACGAAGTTGGTGGTGCTTGCTTGGCCTAGCGAGTCTGACGTACAGTGTTTTTGCAGAAACCCTAAACCCTAAACCCTAAACCCTAAACCCTAGTAGCCCTGAACCCTAACCTCGGGGCTCTTGCTGGATGTCGTTCCAAACTCTTAGAGGTTTTGCAAGGGGCTTCAGCGCTTGAGCATGAACGAACACTGCCCGCCAAACCCCAAACCGAACACGCTGCCCAAAACCCTCAACCCCCCAAAACCCCAAAACCCTAAACCTACTGGAATCCAAGAATCAGAGTCCCATAGGAACCATATCGTTAACTCCTGAAAACACCCCCTCCCCCAACAAAAAATGAATGAAAAAAAACACTTAAAACAAACTCCGGCCTAAGCACCCTTGAAACCAAGCACCCTAAACCCTAAACTCTGAACCCTAAACTCTAAACCCTCAACCCTAAACTCGAAACCCTCACCCGAAACCTAAACCCTGAACCGGAAAAGCGCCGGCGTGGCCAGACTGCGGCGAAACGCCGGCTTGGGGCCAGAGACCTCGAGCCTGGTACCAGCAGAAACGACGGCTTGCGTATAGGGCTCACCTGGGACCCTCATCACCTACAGTTTAGTAGGAACTACCCAGAATTAGCAAGTAGAACGCATAGGAGTGTCGGTAAAGAGTGTCACAGGTAGGGTTTGCTGTGATGTTTGGGGTTTAGGGTTCCGAGTTCAGCGCAGGGGTGATCTCGGGTTTGGTGCTTCAGAGCTCTGAATCGTCTTCGGGGGGTCGGGGTCGTGGGGTTTAGGGTTTAGGGTTGGTTCATATGGGCTTCGAAGGTCCCCAGGGTGGGCCGTGTTTTCGCGTTGAAGGTTTATAGAGCATTCACGAGCAAACCCTAAACATCTAAATTAGGGCTGTCTTATTTGCAGGTCAAGCTTTCTAGGGTTTTGGTGGTTAAGGCTTTATTTAGGAGGCATTCAGAGTTTTCAGTTTACGGCTCCAGGGCTTTGTAGGGGGTGGAGTATCACTCTGGGGGCCAGGAAGGCTGACAGGCTCGGCATGACCCGCACATTGTGCTTTCCTCCTCAGCCCCAACCCCGAAAGCACCCTAAACCCTAAACCCTAAACCCTCAACCCTAAACCCTAAACCCTAAACCCCTAAACCCTAAACCCCTAAACCCCTAAACCCCTGAACCCCAACAATGGGGGGCTCATGAAGCCAGGATGCTCCAACACCTCGTGCGCGAGACCTGATCGTCATTGGGCCCCCGAGGCCCTCTGAGTTGCCTTTTTGTCTGGTTTTGTTGTTTATTAGGGAACCTTGGGTTTAGGGTTTAGGGTTTAGGGTTTAGGGTTTAGGGTTTGGGGTTTAGGGTTTAGGGCTTTTGTGTTGTATGAAGTCATAGCCTTGGCGTGTCTTGTCTTCTGTCATCTTGCTGGCTCGCCGGGTCGCATATGTGGCATGTTTGTTCATGATGCCGTAGCATTGTATCATACTTTACGTGCTTAGAAGTATTGTGCACACATAGTGGCAAAAGCTAAACCGCAATCCCTTGGGAAGACACATATGAGTCGATCGTGAACAGCATGTGCGTATGCCCAAAGAGCAGGCCCCACAGCGATCCTCTCTCCGGAAGAGGAAAAACAAGGTAACAACACTTCGAATTAGTAGACCTAACTATATATATATATATATATATGGCTCGTATCCCGAACCAGCATCCCTGAACCCTCATGCCCTCAGCCGTAAACACGAAGCAGGACCCCCTAAACTCCCTGTAAACCTATCCCTCTCTTGGGCCCCAAAAAGCCCCAAACCCACCCCCAAGAGCAGGGCGTCTGAGCCGCTGGCGGCGTTTGGGTGTGCGGAGGGGTGAGCCCTCCTCCATCATGCCTACGACGTCCTGTCCTAGGTTTCCCCTAGAGCCGAACAAGGGTGCGTTGAGGCCGTTTAGGGTTTTTCCGGCCGAAAGTTCCTGGGATCTTTAGCCTCTAACCCTAAACCCTAAACCCTAAACCCTAAACCCCTAAACCCTAAACCCTAAACCAGGGATGTTTGGAAGTCTTTAGGGCTTAGGGATTTGTAGGTTTTTGGGGGTTCGGGTTAGAGGCGACCTTGGCTCTGCACATACCTCTGTGCTTTGTAGGTTGGTTGGTAGGTTTTCAGGGCTTACGACAGAAATTGGAAGTTCTAGGTTTAGGGTTTAGGGTTTAGGGTTTAGGGTTTAGGGCTTGGGGCTTGGGGTTTAGGGTTTAGGGTTTAGGGTTAAGGGCTTGGGGATTTGGGGTTAGGGCTTAGGGTTGCCAATGTGCACGTAGGTGTCTTGTAATCCTGGACGTCTGGAAACGGGCCGTGCCGGAAAATCGGAGCCGTGTGGCTCTGGCATCTGGCCCCCCCTTCAAACAACTGGCTGGTTCTTAGCAGGGAATGAGGGAATGAGGGAATGAGGGACCTACATGTGTATATATACACCTTTTTCGGGATTATTATAGGGTCCTCATTCCCCAATTCCCTGCTAAGAACCGGCCAGAAAATTACAAGTAGGGGCACTTATCTTGATACTTTGGGGAACATATAGTCTGCACCGCAGCATGTGCCACTTGATGTGCTATTGAATGCACGGGCTGCCAATGGGTTCTGACTCTGAGAAAGCTTACAATAAGGTGCCTGAAGTTATGAGGCAGGCAGGGTTTGGGGTTGGCTGAGGGACCATGCTTTCCGCATGTTGTTTGCACACGGGCATCTTCAAGTTTCTGGGTCTACTGCGTGTCGGCAGCACCTTTGATGCCGCCCGAGGCCACAACTGGAACGACATGGGTAGCTGTAGCTCATCGGAGAACTACCCTACAGGTCCAGCCCAAGCATATACAGGTACACGGACCCGCAGGGCTCACCATTCGGGCGTAGGGTTTGGTTCTTTGTAGAGAAATACTACCCAAATCGCCAAACTCTTGCCGGCTCAAACTGCCAGGCATTCAACGAATCCACTTTTTGTGTGAGCGCGTCTTGGACGATCTTGAAAGGATACTGAAAGTCGTTTGCACGTGTTCCATAAATTGCCACCGCTGATCGGCATGGCGATATGGTGGCAGATACACACCATGAAGCCCATCAGGCTTCAAGCCTAAGCATTCTGAACCCCATGCCCCAAACCCCCTGACTTTATAGAAAAACCCAAACAGCCCCAACTGTCTAAAACCTGAACGCCATCGTCTCCCCCGTCAGAAGATGCGCTCCACGAGGTCATCCTCCTCGATGGGCATAGGCTGCAAGTCCTCATCTACCGCGTCCGCGTCTACTGGCGCCTGCTCACTCGGAAAGCTGCTCCAGTCACTCCTGCTCAGATTCAAGGTGACCTAGAAAAAACTAAAAGGACCCCCCCCCCCCTTTTTTAGTATCGGGTAGTTCAGTGAGGACCTTCAAACCTCTCAAACATAGGAAAAAAGGGCTCACTGGGAGGTCTAGCCTGTCTGTGCCGAAGCTGCCAAGGTGAAGTGAGGGGAACCTTGGCCACGAGGATTTGGGGCTTAGGGTTTGAGGGTTGAGGGTTTAGTTTTTTGGGTAAGCTAGGGTGTAGTCTCGTTTAAGAAACTTAGATGCTCAAAGCCGTAGACCCCGCACACCTACATCACAGCTACATTTTTATTTAGTCTCTGAAGCCAAGACTAAGGGATGTCAAAAGGGACCCCTCGAAAGGATCCCTTTCTCCTACAACCACTTCACTTGAGGGCTAGGGGATAGGACTAGGGGGATTTTTGGGGATATAGACCCTCTCAATACGGTCCCTGTTTAAGAGAGCCAGAAGAGGGTTCAGAGGGGTTCCCTTTTCAGGGTCCTCTTTGTCCAGCCTAACCTAGGAAGGGTTTGGGGTCCCTTGATACCACAGTGCGCCAAAGCAGCCAGGACAAGTCCAGCAACGAGCTCATGTTCGCCGTACTGTCCTTCCAAACAATTAGGCTTTAGGGTTTAGGTTGAAAAGTTCTTCCCGAAGATGATCTGCTCAAACCCCATAGGGGAAAATCTAAAATATCCCCAGGGTCTGCCTAGTCAGTCACAAGTTTAGTGTTTCGTGCGGTTCGGAGTGAAGCCCAAGGCCGTGAAGATACACTCTCCACCCGTACCCTAACCCGAAACTCTGACATTTCACAACTTTACTACCAACTGCTTAAGAACACCCAACAAAATAACAACATATTCTTCCTTATAAGGGTCATATTAGGGATGATTAACATTTTTTGGGGGTTCTTACGCAAATAGTAGTTTACTTGCCCCCTACGAGCACCTGATCCTATGTCTTTTTGCCCTCATACTAACATCTTGAACTCCCCCCGCAGATTCCTCAGCTAAACCTGAAAGCGCTAACGGCTCTAACAAACCCTGGAACCCTAAACCCTAAACCCTAAACCCGAAACCCTAGAACGGTACTGTAGGGATAAGGGCTTATGGCTCACGGCTCTCGTCTTCTCTCCCGCCCACGGAGCTCATCTCAACAAAATACCGTGAAGGTTCGCGTGTCCCTAGCAGAGAACAGAACGCCTGCTTTGCACGCCTTCCAAATTCATCTTGAATCTTGACGTGCTTTGCGGCGATTTGCGATGTGATCAGAAGTGCTTCGTTGCGAGTTGATGCTCGATGTGATCAAGCGCATCGTGTCGCGCGCAAACGCGCGCTGTGTCTACGAATGTGCAGCGATTGTTGATGCCCTAAACCCTAAACCCTGAAACGCGTGATGACGCGTCTGATAGGATGAGGTGGTGAAGATCTGCGGGGGTGGTGGCCAGGAGACTGGGAGGAAGAAGTGCCACTCGCCAACTTTGCCCAAAACCCCTAAACCCTAACCCTAAACCCTAAACCCTAAACCCACCGTAAGCCCACAGTCCTTGTCCAATCTGGCGACTATCTGCCGAGCCCGTAGCTCGAGACCCGACTCCGAGTTGGACCTTGGTGTTCAGGGGCTCGACGCTTTGGTTGTGCCTCTAGGGTTTAGGGTTTAGGGTTTAGGGCTTAGGGCTGCTTAGGATTGTCCAAATCCTTCTTAAGGGCATGTCTCTGGTCATTCCTCTTTCTTCGTGGGGGTGGGGGGGGGGCTGGGGGGGGGGCTTCTTATAGGACTTTCGGGTCTCCGATGCCCACCATCACCCCGAGCCCCATGCGCCGCAAAGCTCTGCACACCAAAACCCCTAAACCCCTAACATAGGGGCAGGAATAATTACTCATAATATTCCCTTATGGTCCCTTTCTAACTATACTATATTCACCCCCCAAAACCCCATTCTAATTCTTTCGGCCCCTAACCCCCTCGTCTTCTGTGGATGCAAGTCCCAGGAGTGCCATGTTTGGCTCCGACTGTGAGCCCCGGGGGGCATGGGTATTTACAGTGTTTCGTGTGGGCCGCATGTCAAATACCTGGGCCCGGCCAGGTTCTTTTTCACGCGTTCGGGCTTTCCCGTGTCGGAACCACTTGATCGTCTTATTCTTTTGCGGTGTTTCCTCTACACTTTTGCGCCGCAAACACGTGCAGCGTTTTGTTGCATTTTGTTCTTTTCCCCGACGGTTCGGCCAATGCACCATGCATGCAAGATCATGTCCATGTGCTACCAATACACTGGCCAAAAAGCATCCATGCAAGCACGATGATAACGGCCACCAGTGCATGCATTGGCTGCAGCATCCATGCCCGCATATGTTGGCGTCCATGCCACCAGTGCATCTCATTCTCCAGTTGTCCTTCTCGCTGAGGTGGTGTAACCTTCAACTCCTGAAGTCCCAGACCCTAGACCTCAAAACTGCCTGCAACAGCTGAGATGAAGCTGCAGACAAAAAAATGGATTGTTTCGCTGAAGAGAGTGTTCAGAGTCAAGTGCCAGACGTGTCTGGACTTCAGATGCAAGGGTTCCAACATAGTCCTGAAAATCCAACCTTTGCCGCCTGCGCGTGCGCGAAACCATCGTCCTAGCGCATGTTGTTCTATGTGCTTTGGCTCCAAGCCACGTCGCACATAACGTATCCCGAAAACACGAAAGTATGCTCCTGCCACGCAAAGTACGTGCAAACCGCTGCTACTGACATGCACGGCGCGCGTGAACACACCGTCGGAGCGCTAGGGTTTGGGTTAACAGGCTTCGAATTTCAAACCATAAGGTCGTACCCTTGGAACAGACACTTACCATGCTAGGAGGTTAGTGTGTTAGGAAGAACACCTCAGAGGTTCACGTTGGGGTTTACAAGCCGCACGCCCTCAAAAGTAAACTTCAAATCCCGAAACAAACCTAGCGACCCTGCACAACCTTGCACCCTAAACCTTATTCAAACCCTAAACCCTATCACCCCAGAATTCGCCGACATATCGTGTGGCTTGCTTCTTCCGTTGCTCAGGTGTTTTCGCCTCTTGGCTGTTGAGAGCTGCAGGCGGTTCTCAAGCTAAGTTTTGGGCCGTAGCTGGGGCTTAGGGTTTGGGGTTTGGGGTTCCGGGTTCCGGGTTCGGGGTTCGGGGTTTGGGGTTCAGGGTTTAGGGTTTCAATGTGTTCTGTGCCTATGTGGCGGACTTTTCGCCGGCCACAGGGGGCATGGGCACATTTGTTCATTTACACGGGTGGTTTAAGCTTTTTTGGGGTATTGAGATAAGGTCTGCTTTGTTGAATATTATAGATGCATGTCCAATAGAACTTGAGCCTAGGGCCTAGAACATTGGGTATCGCGGACAGTCCCGATTGGGGGTTGGGAGCTTAGGGGGCTTGGAGGCTTGGGTTAAGCCTAAAAGGGGGTTGAAGATGGGCGGCAGCAGGCAGTCCAAAATATCCAAGTGACTGGGGCAAGAAATGAACAGCGATCTGCATGAAGATGGCCTTGAGAGCACTGGTGTACATGTCGGCCGTGCGCCCTTTCCGTACGTTCGGATGTTCGGCAATCTCCTCAAAAGCATCCGTGGACTGCGGCACCTGGAACCCGTCTGATGCTATGACGGGCAGCACATGGCACGAGGAAGATGCGCGGTAGGCTTGCAGCATCCACTCGATCATGCAGGGGGCAGTGAGGCAGCCTGGTGTGCACAGCAACACCAAGAACATGGGCCGCGGCGAACTGAGGTCTGTCGGACGATTCTTGAGCCTGTCGGACGTGCTGAGCACCTTTGGCAGCATGCTGCATGTGATGAAGACGTGCGGCGAGATGAAGTGGCGCAGGACGTGTGCAGACGCAACCGCCTCCATATCTTCGAGGTTTGCAAGGATCAGGCAGTCCGAGTCGAAGTCGCTCGAAAAAGAGACGGTCTGGCGAGACTTCCTGCCTCCAGTCAGCAGGCCAACAACCTGAGTAAGCTCCTCCCCCACGAACTTCGGACTCACGCTCACGGCCTTGATTGTTCTCAGCCATCGCAGGGTGTCCGTAATGTCCGCAATCCCGAAGCCATAGCTGGCCAGCTCTGCGATGTCCGGCACCGCACCCTCGTACGCATCCTGGGCGCAGTTTGTGCAAGAGAGAGAAGTTCAACAGTCCAACAGTCCAACAGTTGAACAGCGCAAAAGAACAGCAGTTGAACAGCAACGACAGCAACAAGAGCAAGAGCAGCAACAACGGCAACAACGACAACGGCAACAACAGCAACAAGGGAACCAATGGCAAAACCACAGCAACAATGGCAAAACTACGGCAACAATGGCAGCAACGGAAACAATGGCAAACAAACGGCATCAATAGCAACAACGGCAACAATGGCAGCCACTGCAGCTGCCGCTGCAGCTGCAGCTGCCGCTGTCCCCAAGAAAGCCCTGCTGTAGGATGGCAATCTCAACGTCACGGCCTAGAGGTGCACCCCTGAACCCTCAACCCTTGAACCGAAAACCCAAGCCCTGACTTCTAAAACCTTGAACCCGAAACCCTCTAACGCCGCCAAGGCATCGATGAACTCCACAGACGGAAGATGAAACTTCGGCAGCATGAGCAGCGTGGTTTGCAGCCCTCGGAGCCTCTCGTGCGTGCACATGTCAGGGATTAATGCGGGTTTAGGGTTTAGGGTGTAGGGTTTAGGGTTGAGGGTTTAGGGTTTAGGGTTTAGGGGTAGAAGTTTTGGGGCACCCATACTGTCGTCATATTTTCTGGTGCTGACGTACCATGACTTAAGTACGCAAGCGAGAGAAGCTGCAACCGTGGGGGGTCTGGGTGGGTGCCACTCACACAGAAAAGTAACAGTACGGCCGTGCCTCTTGAAACCGAAAGTGCACCTAAACTGGCAAACTGCGAACTTCAACCAGCACCCTCAACCCGAACCCCGAAACTCGTCTGGGGTTTTCGGACTTCTTGTTTTGGGGGTGGGGGGGAGAGGGTTCTAGGGTTCCTTTTAAACCCTAGAAACCCCAAAGCCCAAAACGCGGCCCCGCCTGGCTGTCACAATCTCTGCAATGCACCACTTGCGCGTCAGAACCTGCACTTAAAATACAAATAGATCGTATGCGACTTCTGCGTAGATTAGACACCATAATCACACTCCTAATCCTAATCATGATAGCAATAAACAATGGACGCGCTTCTATTCTGATCGTCGACTTGTCCTGTGTCTATAGAATGCCTAACGAGATTGTTGAGAGGCTAGGGTGGGATCAGGGCTTGCAGGGCTGATGAAGATAAGGTTTAGGGTTTAGGGTTTAGGGTTTAGGGTTTAGGGTTTAGGGTTTAGGGTTTAGGGTTTAGGGTTTAGGGTTTAGGGTTTAGGGTTTAGGGTTTAGGGTTTAGGGTTTCGGTTTTAGGGTTTAGGGCCATGTTTAGGTTTTAGGGTTTAGGGTTTAGGCTTCAAGGAGGGAGGCCCCTCCATCCAGAGCGATAGGGGCAATGGGGCTACTGCTTGGTGTTGTGGTTGCCTCTCTCTACTTAAAGGTTCACGGTACTTACTAACCAATTATAACTGTACTTATAACCCTACTTATATTACCCCTAAAAGGCCTTATAGGGGTTATCCCAAGTATAAGTAGAATTATAAGCCCAGTTATAAGTGGTTAGTAAGTACCATGAACCTCCAAGTAGAGTTGGTGGTCTCTTCGCAATACGATCGCGCGCCATTCCCTAACATGAGTTACACCTCATTACAAACCCCTGGCACAAAGATCTAAGCCTACAATGTTAAGGCGTTGTGGGTGCTTTGGGGGAGATTTGAGATTTCGCCTTAGGAATTTGGGGGATTTAGGGCTCCGCGACTTGCAAGGTGTAGCTCCGAATCTGAACCTAACACACGCGTGAAGCTCTAACAGACCCTGCCCAGCCCAGCAGGCCGTCAAGCTCTATAGACCCTACGATAACCCAGATAGGCCCTGAACCCTTTCTAAGACGACGCAGCCATAATCCCTGCAAGCCATCTAGGGCTTGAAGCATTATAGTCTGACAAGGACATATACGGGTGTTTCGGGGCTGGCTTACAACCGGCACCCTGATCCCTGAACCAGGTCACGGCCCTCCATGTAGTATCCTGGGACAAACCCCAAACGCAAAGCACTAAAGGTCACTAAAGTCACTGAAAACCCCGAAATCCAACACACCCGAAGCTCCAAAAAGCTAAACCACCCACACCCGAAAACCGAAGCTTGCTTCGAGGCTTCTGTAGGCTAGCTACGCCATACACACAACCTACTACGAGTGCCCTAAATCCTACGCCCGAGTGATACTGGGCCCCTGCAAAGGGGTCCCAAGCCCCAGGCAGGCCGAGGAGGACCTGAGGATCAATTGTGGGCCCAGGACATGCACCCTAAACCCTAAGCCCTAAACCCTACACCCTAAACCCTAAACCCTGAACCCTGAACCCTAAACCCTAAACCCTAAACCCTAAACTCTAAACCCTGAACCCTAGGTTCCCAAACATTTTTGAGGGCTCAGAGGGCCCCCAAATCCCAAGCTCTGGGCCTCAAGCCCTACACTCCAAACCCAACGCACAATTCCAAACCCCACGCCCCAGACCACAGACCAGAACAAATAAACCCTTAACCCTAAACCCTAAACCCTGAACCCTAAACCCTAAACCCTAAACCCTAAACCCTAAACCCTAAACCCTAAACCCTAAACCCTAAACCCTAAACCCTAAACCCTAAACCCTAAACCCTAAACCCTAACCCTAAACCCTAAACCCTAAACTCTAAACCCTGAACAAATTCACAGAACGCGCCTGGGGGCTGGCCAGCACAAGAAGGGATTCCACGTTGCGGCTCAGCGTTACGAAGAGCTGCGTCAGGTCGTTCAGGTTGTCCTGCATAAGGTTTAGGATTTAGGGTTTAGGGTTTAGGGTTTTGGGTTTTGTGCTGAAGGTTCAGGGCTCAGGGTTCGGGGTTTTGGGTTACGGGTTTAGGGTTTAGGGTTCAGGGTATAAAAACCCTAAACCCTACTTAAACTCCTAAACCCTAACACCAGGAAGTTACGGCTGATGTGAAAAGGCAGGTTTTGCGCAGGAGAACTACGTGCACTTTCGAAAGAACCCTCAAGCCGATTCTTTCATAGAGCCTCCTGCTCTTGCGGGGTCTTTTTCCTTCACTTCAGCCCTACACCCAAGAAAACTCCTAGCCCCGCCACCAAGGGCCCGAGCCCCAAGGCCAAAACCCTAAACCCTATAGGGTTTAGGGTTTAGGGTTTAGGGTTCAGGGTTCAGGGTTTAGGGTTTAGGGTTATAATCCCTTAATAAGCCCCTAAATCTTGCGGCCCAAGCCGAGCTGCAAAGCAGCTGGCACCCTCATTTCAGTCGGACATGTTGAGCCGTGAAGGTTTAGGGTTTAGGGTTTAGGGTTTAGGGCTTAGGGTTTAGGGTTTAGGGGTTTAGGGTTTAGGGTTTAGGGTAACGATGCACTTCGAGGGGGCAGAAGGTTTGCAACTAATCAAGGGCATGGACCCTTCGTAGCCCTAAATCCTAAGCCCCACGCCCTGATCACCAGACCAACCCTGAACCCTAAACCCCGTAAACCCAAAACCCTGAACCCCAAATGCGTAGAAGTTGGTCCGTGTCGAGGAATACGGCGAATCCGCGCTGCTGCAGCTCGAGCTTCATCAAGCGGGCGAGGTTTCCTGCAGCCTGGGCAACTTGCGTAAGTTTAGGGCTAAGGGGTTAGCGTTTGCGGTCTAAGGGTTAGAGTTACCCTAAACCCTAAACCCTAAATCTTAGGGTTTGGGCGTAGGGCAATTTGGGTTGACCCAGGGATGCTCTGGGCGCAGGTCCCTGATCCCTGAAACCTGAACCCCCACGCTGAAGAGCTTCAGGGGGGGGGAGCCCTGAAATCGGAACCTCCCGGTTCAGGGTTCAGGTTTTAGGGTCTAGAGTTACGAGCGTCCTAAACCCTCTATAAACCCTAAACCCTGAACCCTATACTCCAAGCCCTAAACCCTCCCACCCCGGCAGCCCTGAACATCCCTTGCTGCACCATGGCCTGCTTGTGATGCGACAGGAAATAATGAAACTTCTTGGCGCGCAACATGAGCAAGTGTCGGCCTGGGGTTGAGGGTATATGGGGGTCTTCTTGCTGTCGTTCAGGGTTTAAGGGTGTTAGGGTCAGGCTGATTGTAGTAGGGTACTGCAATCACGGCCCTTCCTGCAAGTTTTCTGACCAAAATGAAGTCTTGCTGGGCTCAGGGATCCTGGTTTAGGACTTAGGGATCAAGTAGACGCCCAATCTTGCACCCTCCAGAAATACTTCCATGGCAATAGATGGATTCATTTCCAACAGCAAGCTCGCGGGCACGAGTTAGTTGAGGGTTAGGATTTAGGCTTTAGGCACCTGAGGTGTCTTGGCCAAGGGGAATCGACTTTCCAGATCCTCAACCAGATGGGTGCATCCGTGTTTGTTACTACCTGGACATTTTTGTCGGGTTTAGGGTTCAGGGTTCAGGGTTCAGGGTTTAGGGTTTATAGGGTTTAGGGTTTAGGGTTTAGGGTTTAGGGTTTAGGGTTTAGGATTCAGGGTTTAGGGTTTTTGGGTGACGGAGACGGGAGCCCTACACTTGATCTGGAGGAAACTGGTTCGGGGAGCAAGGCCTCCTTCGGCCTACCATGCACCCAAACGATGACTTAAACCTGATGACCAGGAAGTTTGATACTCGGATGTGGCTCTGAACCTTAGGGGTTTAGGGTTTGGGGTTTAGGGTTTAGGGCTTAGGGTTTAGGGTTGTGTGAACTTGGCTTTGTGGCTCGCCGTGAGAGGTGTTTGGGCATTCTCCAGCGGCCACGTCTTTCATACTACTTCGTCCAGCTGACCCCCCGACGATTTTCAAGTCTTGGGATGCTCCCCCTTGCACTAACAGTCCTCAACAGGGATTCTAGTACCTCCTACTCTAATCCCTATTAAGGACTGTCAGTACAAGGGGGGAACATCCCAACCTCAAACCCTAAACCCTAAACCCTAAACCTTAAACCCTAAATCCTGATCTAACCCCCCTAAAGCGAATTTTTCTCAGGGCCGGGCCCACGGCAAAGATCGACAAAATAGCCAAGGCGGCGATGATGCCAGCAAGGAAAATGGTGCAGATGACCATGGAGGCGCGGCGATCCTAAGGCTTTCTTTAGGGTTCAGGGTTCAGGGTTCAGGGTTCAGGGTTCAGGGTTCAGGGTTCAGGGTTCAGGGTTCAGGGTTTAGGGTTGAGGGTTGAGGGTTGAGGGTTGAGGGTTGAGGGTTGAGGGTCTTTAGATTCCGGGATCCAGGTTTGCTGTTGACGTCTTACAGGGGGTACGGCCGCGCTGAATCCAAGCTTAAAACCCTCCCCTGAACAAGGAATCCCTTAGCCCCAAAATTCCCCGAATCCTACGGAAATTCAAAGCCCGACCCCCCTCCCCCCCCCACTCCTGTTGCGGCACAGCCCAGTCCAAGCACGGAGTCACACTCACCGGCATGAAACAAAAAAGGAAAAGACAAATCACACAGCCACGAAGACACCAAACACCTGAAGCAATATCACAAACATTTGTAGGAATTATCGTTTACAAGACCCCCCCCCTATAATCCTTGTGACAAAAAAACGACAACCCAAAAGACCCGTGCGTTTTCAGGATTCGCCTCAATAACCCCCTTGAGTGCAGGCCCGGTATCCACACCGGTCACGAAGAAGCTGCCTTGGAAGAGAATGATTAAGAACACGGCGTTGGACAACAGGTCGGTGCAAGAGGCCACGGAGGATCGCCAAGGCTTGAAGTAGGAGACCAGAAGCATGTTGAGGCAGATCAGAACCTCTGGCTTTAGGGTTTAGGGTTTAGGGTTTAGGGTACTTCTCAAAAACATTTTTCATCATGGGAAGGCACATCATCGCCGGGGTTTTTGTCTTAATCTGCATATCTCTCTATGGTAACTTAGGGTCCCTTTTGGGTCTTTGGGCGCCGTATTTTACACAGGAACCACAAAGGGACACTGCTAATTAGAGAACTACCCGTTCAGGGTCTAGGGTTTAGGGTTTAGGGTTAGGGGTTTAGGGTTTAGGGTTTAGGGTTTAGGGTTTAGGGTTTACGGTTTAGGGGTATACTTCCGCAAAGGAGCATGAATTGTGAGAAGGCTTGCGTTGGGTACTGGCAAGACCGGCGCGAGGGCAAAGAGGGCGTTCCGCACCAAGGTGAAAATGCCTAGGGTTTAGGGTTTAGGGTTTAGGGTTTATAGGGTATAGGGTTTAGGGTTTAGGGTTTAGGGTTTAGGGTTTAAACCAAGGAGAAGTGCAGTAATTAGCCTTATTGTTTCTAATGATTCCTAGGGGGTTATCACAGGGGATCCTGACACGAAAGAAGAAACAAGAAGGCCTGTGCAGGGCATGCTAGGTGCAGAACCCTTCGAAGCCTGGCCGGAAGCGCAAGACCAGAAACGAGCAAGCTCGGGTGAATCTCACGTCGACCGCGCGGAGTCTTTTGGGAAACTCGGCCAGGATGACCCAGGAGCAGAAGGCCAAGAAGCTGCTGGGTAAGAGGCTGAGGAGCCCGCCCATGAGGCACATGTCAAAGTGGCTTCCCCTGAAGTTGCAGAGCGTGACTTTACCTCAGCTCGTGTTTTGGCAGCTTTCTTCCGGGTGTAGGTTTTAGAGTTGAAAGTTTTTTCTTGGGGTGTGAAAGGGTTCAATATGGGCCATAGTGCCATAGTGCTTAAACAAGGGCATACTATTTGGCTTCAGTCTGGTCAAGATCACCCAAGTAGCTGGACTGCATGGTGGACAGGCCATTTGGGTGACTCTGGCATTGGAACGGCTCCACAACGGCCGTGCACAGCACGATGAAGAAGAGCACAGAGAGAGAGCCGAGAGTCTCGCACAACAAGTGCCTGGGTTTAGGGTTCGGGTTTAGGTTTGCTGTTGGGAAGCCTACACCGTGAGCAGTTAACGTCAGGAAACAGCACGTTGTTACTCTACATCCGCACTATGGTGCCTTACTGAATTTAAGCTAAACCCAACACCCTAAATGATCAGAACCCTAAACCCTGACCCCTCTGGTGCTAACGTGATTACAGGGCACTTCCCCAGACCCAGGATTAACCTAAGAACAAGAAGGGTACCCTTTTTGGTTTTAAGGGGCTTTTAAGGGAACCCCAACCCTAAAAAAGGCAATCAGGGCCTACTCCAGGTGCTAGTAGCCCTAAACCCTAAACCGTGAACCTAGGGGATAGGATTAGGGGGACCCTTGGGGATATAGACCCTCTGAATAAGGTCCCTACTTAAGAGAGCCAGAAGAGGGTTCAGAAGGGGTTCCCTTTTAAGGGTCCCCCTTATCCTACCCAGGAAACCCTAAACCCAAAACCCTGTTCCCGAACAACAACCCAGGTGCAGTTGCAAGCCATCCCGTCTCCAGAAAAGGACGACCGTGAGGTGAATCACCTGTGCGGCTGCGGGTGTAGGGTCCAGGGACGTGGGCTCGGGGTGGTTCAGGGTTCGGGGTTTATAGGGTTTGGGGTTTAGGGCTTGGGGTTTAGGGTTTAGGTGTTAGGGTTTAGAGTTTAGGGTTTAGGGTTTGCAAATCCTAAGTCCGCACACAGGCATGTGGCTTCCGGGGCGGCTTAGCTGTGTCAGCACCTTACCCTCCCCACCTCAAAGCCTGCAACCGCCCAAATCGGACTGGTGGAGTGGCGGTTGCTTCCTTAAACCCTAAACCCTAAACCCTTAACCCTTAAACCCTAAACGCTAAGCCCGCTAAGCCCGCTAAGCCCAAACCCTAAGCCTGAACCCTGCAAGGCACCACGGGGGCCGCCAGGAACGCCGTGGGCACAGCCAGCGTCTGCATAAGGAACCGCAGTGTCGAGCTCATGCGCGTGACGCAGGAGATCGCCTTGGGTTGAGCTCCAGGGTTTAGGGGTCTATAGGGCCTAATATAGGGGTCGGAATAGTTAGTAATAGCATTCCCTTAGGGTCCCTCTATATCTATACTAGAATGACCCCCAACACACTATTCAAATTCTTCAGGCACCTCTCCTACTGCATGGTCCTAAACCCTAAACCCCTACACCCTAAATCCCACAGCTGTGGCGTTGGGAAGGATCAGATGAAGGTTGAGGGTGTTGGGTGTGTGGTCCGCGCATGCTTTAGGATGTTGGGTGGCGTCGGGTCTGTCAGAAAAGCGTTTAGGGTTTACAGTTCTCAAGAAAACCCTGAACGTAACCCGAAACCTTACCAACCCCAAGCCCTCATTGAACCCGGAAACCCTAATTAAACCCAGACACCCTAAACCCAAAACCCTAACACGCTGAAATCCAAAAACCCAAAAACCCTCAAATCTAAAACCAAACCCGAAAGACCCTCAAATCCTAAACCCTAAAACCCTAAACCTACACCCAAAGAAACCTAAATCCCCAACAACCAGACAATGGGCCAAAGGTATCCAAGTCAGGGCTTCGGCGTTTACTACTTCTTCGCTGGGTGGCTGCAAGTGGGACTTGTGGCTTTGGAGGGCTGGTGGGACGGTTTAGGGTTTAGGGTTGAGGGTTTAGGGTTTAGAGTGTAACAGGTACAACCTGGGTTTCATACCTTTGTCAAGAAGAGAAAAACCACACTGGAAGCGCAGTGCTTAGCTGGTTCCAGCCTGATTGTTTAGGGTCCCTGAACCCTAAAAACTACAAACCCTAAACCCTGAACCCTAAACCCGAAACCCGAAACCCTAAACCCCGACACCGGGAGCCCTTCATATACCCCTTGTATACCCTCTATGGAGCCCAGGGGCCCCAACACTTCCGCTTCCTTGAAGACAGCTAAGGGGCCCTATTAAAGGGTTGGACCCTGAAGGCCTCAACCCCCTAAGGGTTTAGGGTTTAGGGTTTAGGGTTTAGGGTTTAGGGTTTAGGGTTTAGGGTTTAGGGTTAGAATCCAGGACAGGATCCGCCTCGTGCAGGGCCTGTAAATACAAGTTCTAATGGGGGTGTCCAATTAGGGTTACCTTATTGGTGTCCTTATTCTAAAGGAATCCTAGTATTTGGGGCTCTATGTTAAGGGCACCTTATTTTCGTAATCCCCCAAACGGCCAAAGGCACCCATTCTATTCAACAAAAGGCCTTCTGTGAGGGTTTAGGGTTTAGGGTTTAGGGGACCTTGTCGCTTTATGCCCAGCTGCGTTCAGCGACTGGAAAACCGATTCCAGCGACAAGAAGCTCAAGGCCTCGATGATCATCACGAAAGGCTCGTCCCAGGTGATGTCGATCTTCCTCACTCCAGCTACAATAGCCCTAAACCCTAAACCCTAAACCCCAAACCCTAAACCCTACACCCTAACCCCAAACCCTAAACCCTAAACCCCAAACCCATGGCTCTAAGGAAGCCTCTGTTCTAGAGCCTGGGGGGGACCAAGGGTCGTACTATTCCTGGCTGCTGGAAGAACCCCTCGAACCTCCGAGTCCTTGAACCCTATATTCCGAAAATAGGGGTACCCTTTTTAGGGTCCCTTTAAGGGACTCTATTCTATTTGGGGTAGAAAAGGGGTACCCCTATTTCGGGAAATGCCCATTTCTGAGCTTCTACCCTCAAACCCTAACTACCAAGTAAGACATTAACCCTAAGCACTTATAAGACCAAAGACTTACACCCCAAGAAAACTCCTGAACCCTCACTACACCCTAAACCTCTTGCAACCCCTTGACCAGAAAACCCAAACTGTTTGAGAACAAAGTTTCTGGATGACGATCACAAGCTGTAGGCAGACGACCAGCTGCGTGGCATAGAGGCTGGCGTTGAGAAGGCCGCTCCTCTTCCGCAGTTCTGAAGAGTCCAGTGTGAAGGGCTTTCAGGTTTAAGTTTGGGGTATTTCCGAGCCAACATTCGTCCTTGGGTTCCAGGGCATCGGGATTGAAAGCCCCAACTAAGCCCTAAGCCACAAACCCTAAAATCTGAAAAAACAAAAAAGCACCAAAAAAGCCCCCCCCCCCCCCCCCCCCCCCCGCCCATAGCCCTAGACCCTCAACAAACCGGGGCGCTGCTTGTTCACGATGCTCTGGTTCTGCTTCAGCACCACCAAGTGGATCAGCCCGGTCCCACCAAACACCAGAAAGCCCACGAGGACCTCTGGGATGGCAGGGTTTAGGGCTTAGGGCTTAGGGCTTAGGGCTTAGGGCTTAGGGTTTAGGGTTTAGGGTTTAGGGTTTAGGGTTTAGGGTTTAGGTCTGGGTTTTAGGGTCAGGGCTCAGCCGCTACACCCTAAACCCTAAACCGGGCGCGGCCAAGGAGCAAAAAGTGCATAGTCGCCACCACTGCACGAGCTGCACGTACTCCCATTGGGCCTCAGACCTTGGCTGACAGACACATGCTTGGGGTTTAGGGTTTAGATTTTTAAGGTTTAGGGGTTGAGCGATAGGATTTACGGGTTTAGGGTGTGTCAAGAGGGCGAGGGGGGAGCGAGGGAGGAAGGGAGGGAGGAAGGGGGTTCCTTATGGATAGGGGCATCTTAAAGGGGACTCTGAGGGGGTCTAGGCCGTGTGAAGGCTGCCCGGCCTGGCAGACATGCGCCGCAGGTCAAGCTGCTGGCATCCCGTCCGAAGGCGCAAGTCCCAGGACCTCAGCTGCACTCGAGAAACCTTAAGTTGAGAGGGTTTAGGGTTTAGGGTTTAGGGTTTAGGGTTTAGGGCTCAGGGTCCGTCATGGTAGGTATTGGGGTTTAGGGTTCCAGCTTCTAGGCCAACAGCCTTACGTAGCATGGTGTTTGGGGCCAAAGCCGCTGCAATCGAGCCCTTTTATCGGGAAAAGTAGAAACAAAGGTTCTCTCCAGAGCTCCCGAGAAACGCCCGCCCGGGCATCGCGAAGCATCACCGAAGCACCTAAAGACAGAGCCAGGGTCCTCGCTACTCGAGTAGAAGCCCGGGAGTAGCTCCACATCGTTCGAGCCCGGGCACACAGCTCCTGTCAGGGCTCAGGAGTCGGCGGGGTCTGTGGCCTATAAAGGGCTTCCAGGGCTTGTATTTCTCAGGCTTGAGGGGCTTTTGGGGCTCACACAGTTGCCACCCGTCATTTTGGAGACTGAAGTTCTAGATGCCTTCTCCAGCTGAACTCCTTACAGAGGGACCCAAGTAGAACCCCAAGTCTAAGAGGCGCAGGGACCCTAACACCACTCCCTAAACCCTAAACCCTAAACCCTAAACCCAAAACCCTAAACCCTAAACCCTAAGGTGGAGGCATGCCCGGGCCTTCGGAACACCGGCGACAAACCCCGTCATCGAGGAACCAGCCCACCGAGCAGCGGCAAAAGCTGTCGTCGCTTGCTGCCTCCACCTCTTGCAGTTTCAGGTGAGACCCTATACCCTAAACCCTAAACCTGAAAACCGACAACCTACAACCTAAAACCTAAAACCTAAAAACCTAAAACCTAAAACCTAAAACCTAAAACCTAAAACCTAAAACCTAAAACCTAAACCAAAAACAAACATGAATAAATAGACTACCCGGACCACGGGTGATGGGTTGCCGTGTTTTGTTGTGCGAGAAAGTACGTTTTACCTGGGTGTTGGCATGATTCCTCAAAATCAGTCTTCAGGATGTACAAAGAAACTTCATCAGTTTCTACTAAGCCCGGAGTGTCCCTTAAAGGTCAAGCATGCAGCCCGTAGAGAAACAAAAACACTGTAAAAACCAGGGTTTTGGGCATGGTCGCCAAAGGCAAGGACGCTTGTGAATGCTTTTCTTGTTCCACGTATGTTGTACAAAGTGGCGAAAATGACGTAAGTACCAGCGTTTTGGGGTTTTGGGCATGGTCGCAAAAGGCATGGAAGCTTGTGACAACGTGTTTTGTTTCACAACCTTGCACGGTATGTTGTACAAACCGGCGAAAACGCTGTAAATACCAGTGTTTTGGACCCCCCCCACCCCCTCCCCCCCACCCCCCCCCCCCCCCGCCCACCCCCCCCCCCCCGCGCCCACCCCCCCCGCCCCCACCCCCCGCCCACCCCCCCAACCCACCCCCAACCCCCCCCAACCCCACCCCTGAGTCCATAAACCTTGACAAAAGCCCTGAACTATAACCCTTCTGGAGTTGAGGATGTTAGGGTCTAGGGGTTTGGTACCGCACCTTTGCGTAACCTCAGCCCTGCATCTTCACGGCTCCCAGTGATATGCGTGGATGAGGTTCAGGGTCCGGGTTGAGGGAACAAACAGAACCGATCTAAACCTAAACCCTGAAACCGCAGACCTGTACAACATAGGGGCCTTAATAATTAGAATAGGGTTTCGGGGATCTATTGTAGTTGTAGTATATTTATAAAGGGGCCATAAGGGAATACTATTAGCAACTATTCCGACCCCGATATGCAGCCCAGGAAGACAAACCCTAAGCCCTAAACCTTAAACCTGGCCTCTATCCAGCGCTGCTCACCGTGGATCGTCAGTAATCGGCTGGTGGTCCACTGCTCGCTGTTCCCACAGGGCTGGCACTCGGTCATGCCCGAGGCGTTGGCAAAGCTACCTGGGACCCTAAACCCTAAACCCTAAACCCTAAACCCTGAACCCTAAATGGCCTACAAAACCCTAAACCCTGAACCCTACATGGCAGAACTTAGGGCTTAGTGCCTTCGTGCTGCTCCTTTGCACTGCTCTGTCATGAAACTAGAACGGTTTAGGGTTTAGGGTTTAGGGTTTAGGGTTTAGGGTTTAGGGTTTAGGGTTTAGGGTTTAGGGTTTAGGGTAGAACTTGCCCTAAGGGAAACCTAAACCCGGGTTTAGGGCTTAGGTTTGGATTGGGAACAAGCCAGAGTACCGTCCACAACCCTATCAACCCGACAACCTGGGAAATCCTACGTAAGCCCTAAGACCTAAACCCTAAACTCAAACCCTATAAACCCAAAACACGTTCAGGGTTCTTGCTCAGCTCAGCTGCCCAGCTGACACGCCTCGCAGGCCGAGAGCCCGGCGGAAGAGGCGAACCTGCCAGCCTCGCATTGCGAGCAGACCGTTTCGCCGTAGTGCGCCTGCGTACGGAACTAAACCCTAAACCCTAAACCCTAAACCCTAAACCCTAAACCCTAAACCCTAAACCCTAAACCCTAAACCCTAAACCCTTGTGGGGTCAGGGTTTGCAGGGTCTGGGGCGGGGTTTATAGGGTCACAGGGTTTGTAGGGTTTACGGGGTTCGCAGGGTAAGGTTTATAGGGTTAAAGGGTTTATGGGGTGTATTGTCTCTAAGCGGTCTGTAGGGTCTATATAGCTTCTTTAGGGTCAGGGGGGTTCGTAGTTGCGGTCTCTGGGGTGCTTAGCCCAATTTACAGGTTTGGGTTCAGGTAGCGCTTCTGTACGTAAGGTTTGCGAGGATTTATAGCGCTTATAATATATGATCTGGGGGTGTGGGTCTCGGGGTTCGTTTTTTATGGAGCTGACAGGGTTTATGGTGTCAAGGGCTTCGGGTTTGGGTGTCTGGGGTTTAGGGTTTGGGGCCTTGTAGAGCCCTAGCATAGGGTCGAGGGACGGCAAGGGGTTGGAGGGCTGGTCGAACGTGGATACTTCAGGGCTTTGTTTTGCTAATATAAGGGGAGTTTCGAAGCTACTAAATCTCTCTTAAACTCTTGTTGTTGGGGGGGGACGGCCTGGTAATGGCCAGCGCTGCACGACCCGCATCTGTAGGTTTGCCCATAGCTGTCCACCAGGGAGTAGGAGAAGTTTCCGGCTGAACCTCGGTCGTCATGACCTACAGTCAGTGGGGTTTAGGGTTAGTTTGCGGCTTTAAACCTATCAGCAAGCCCCAAAACCCCGAACCTGGACCTTAAGCCTGTCATTAAGCCTGAACTCTATAGTCCTAAACCTAACACCCCCAAACCCCACCAGACCCTAATCCCTAAATGGTCCTAAACTCCTCGTAGAATCCCAATGCAGATTACCCAAGCGACAGAGGCTGCAGCCGACGGCAGCTTCCCGAGTTGCGACGTACGTCCCGCGAGCGTCGACGACGCCAAACCCTTGCCAGACTTGAGGGTTTACCTACTGGCTCATAGTGGGGAATGGGAGTACGGTTCCTATATCACCGATATAAATGAGGAACTTTAGGCTTTAGGGTTTGGGCGTTTGGCCGCAGTGCAATAGGGGTGAAGGGTTTAGAGTTTGTTGGGTTTCGATTCCTGGAAAAGGTTGACGTACAGCAATGGAGGGTTGAACAAACCATCTGCAACTTAACGCCCAGAATTCCTTCCCTGGGTTAGGGTTTAGGGGTTTAGGGTTTAGGGTTTAGGGTTTAGGGTTTAGGGTTTAGGGTTTAGGGTTTAGGGTTTAGGGTTTAGGGTTTAGGGTTTAGGGTTTAGGGTTCAAGCATCTGAAAAGCCGCTGGAGGGCCCTTGTGTGCTGGCGCCATCAGCACGCTCCGCTCTACTTCAAGACTCAGGCTTGAGGCAACCTCCCTGAACCCCCCTAAACCCTAAACCCTAAACCCTAAACCCTAAACCCTAAACCCTAAACCCTAAACCCTAAACCCTAGACCCTAAACCCTAAACCGCCTAAACCCTAAACCCTAAACTACTGTATCCCTAAGCCACCCTGGGGCCTGGGAGACAGTTAGTGTCCACCGGGAGCCAGGTCAGCCACCTGCAGGAGGGGGTGACAGTCGAGAAGCCCTGTAGAGACCCTGCGCTCTGAACACGGCCACCGGGTTGGGTTGAAGACTCGAACTGCTGCGGGAGGAAGATGACTGAGGCACTGTTTCGGTACCCTAAACCCTAAACCCTAAACCCTAAACCCTAAACCCTAAACCCTAAACCCTAAACCCTAAACCCTAAACCCTAAACTCTCTACCCCCAAGCCCTGGTGCTTGCAATGGCGGCCTGGGTCGGTTGGAACTGACCCACTGGCAAGCTACGGTCGGGATGGAGTCGCCCTCCACAACCTTCCTGGGTTTAGGGTTTAGGGTTTAGGGTTTAGGGTTTAGGGTTTAGGGTTTAGGGTTTAGGGTTTAGGGTTTAGGGTTTAGGGTTTGAGGGGGGGCCCGTGCGATTGAAAGAACGGTCCACAAGGGGGGGGGAGGGGGGGGGGGGCTCCTCTGAAGTAATTACCGCCCTCCGTTTTGGGCCTCCTGCATAGTGTCCTCTTATCCGGTGCCAAAGAAGAGCCCATAAGTTAGAGATCAAAGCCACGGACCAGGCAAAGGTGCTTCAGGCCGAGTCCCAGACTTTCACGAACCTCTAAACCGCCCGAAACTCGGGAAAAGCAAGCTAAGCTAGCAGTGGCCGAGCTTCAAGAGCAGCTGTTGGACTTCCTCCAGCTCCACCTTTGAAGGCTTCGGGGCTTAGGGGCTTAAGGCTCAAGTTTCTGAGGGACGGGGAGATCCCATTGTTGAGAACTCTCGGGATCTGAAGGTCTCAGGTTGGGAGATCTCGTGTCTATGGTTTAGGGTTTAGGGTTTTAGGGTTTTAGGGTTTAGGGTTTAGGCTTTAAGGTTTAGGGTTTAGGGTGGGGTTTAGGGTTTGGGGTTCTATAGGGGCTCAGTTGGTTTAGGGCTCAGGGTTTGGAACCGCCTAATCCCTGAACTCTAAATCCTAAACCCTAAGTCTGGCCCTAAACCCTAAACCCTAAACCCCTAGACCCTAAACCCTAAACCCCTAAACCCTAAACCCTAAACCCTAACCCCTAAACCCTAAACCCTAAACCCTAAACCCAAAACCCAATTTAGTGCTCGGCCTCAGTCAGTCGTTTGGGTTGAGGAAGGCTTTGGGCTACGTGCTACACCCCTCCGCACCCGAAGCCCTGTCATCCAAGAGCTGAATGCCTGAACCCCCCCTAGGGTTTAGGGTTTAGGGTTTAGGGTTTAGGGTTTAGGGTTTAGGGTTTAGGGTTTAGTTTAGGGTTTAGGGACACCCCCCCCTCCCCCCGACCCTAAAACGCCTCCCCGACATGAACTACACTCTGAAGCCAAAAACCCTAAGGGCTTGTAGGGTTTGGGTTTCAGAGTTTAGGGTCCCCCCAGGGTTTAGGGTTTAGGGTTTAGGGTTTAGGATGGTTTAAGTGTGAAGACATCTGGAGGGCTACGCGGCTTAGGGCACAACTGACGTTCACGAAACGGGTGCTGTGCTACTGCAGCTAGACCCAATTTTAGAAGCAGAATTCATCAACCCTAGCGGAAGAATCCATCAACCCTACACGAGGTTTCCCATAGTCTCCTTAAAGCAACCCTAGAACCTTGAAACCCGGGCCCCCTGAGCCCTCAGGGGGTTCCCCTAAACCCTAAACCCCAAACCCCAAACCCTAAACCCCAAACCCTAAACCCCAAACCCTAAACCCTAAAACCCTAAAACCCAAACCCTAAACCCTAAACCCTGCAAAGGGGCTTCACCAAAACTCCCCCCCACCTGGCCTGAAACTGCTTCAGCATCTCATACACCGTGAAGGCCTGTGAGTCCCTTTTTCTGGGCTTTGCAAGTAGGGTTTTGGGTTTAGGGTTTAGAGGCTTTAGGGTTTATAGGGTTTAGGGTTTTAGAGTGTTCGGGTTTTAGGGTTTTAGGGTGCTAGGGTTTGGGGGGGTTGGGTATAGGGTTTAGGGTTTATAGGGTTTAGGGTTTTAGAGTGTTAGGGTTTGAGGGTGTTAGGGTTTTAGGGTGTTAGGGTTTTAGGGTTTTAGGGGTTTGTGGCTTAGGGGATGTAAGGGTGAAGGTCTCGGGCTTTGCAAGGTTGTTTCGTTTTAGGGTTTTAAGCTCTACTTGCGGTTTAAGGTTTAGGGCTAGGGCTTAGGGTATATGTGAAAGGGTGTGGGGTTTAGGGCTTTGGGGCTTGTTGAGGGTTTTCGTGTCCCCTAAAACCCATTATGAAGCCCTGAGGCCCTGTCTCAGCCGCGGTGTAAGCTTTCCAGGGCTTAAGGTTTGCAGGGCTCAGGCGTAAGGGTTTCGGGTTGAGGGGGTCCTAAAATACCTAAGAACCCCTGACCCAAAGCCCTAAACCCCAAAGCCTAAACCCTAAAAAAATCTTAAACCCTAAACCCCAAACCCTAAACCCCAAACCCTCAACCCTAATCCCAAAACCCCAAACCCCCCTAGCCCTAAATCCTAAGCCCGAAACCCGGGGGAGGCCTGCAGCCGCAGACTGCGCGAGACCAGCTTTGCAACGTAGGAGCCCAAGGCCGCGGTGCGCTTGTTGCCCAGCGCCCACTCCTCAGGTTCTGGGGGTCAGGGGTTTAGGGTTTAGGGTTTAGAGTTTAGGGTTTGGGGGGGGTGTTGGGGTTGTGTAGGGTGGTTTAGATGTCAGAGTTTAGGGTTTCAGGGGGGCTTGGGGCGCTTAGGGCGGCTTAGAGATTTGGGTGGAGGTTTGGGACTTGGGGTTTGAGACTAAGTTCCCGAGCCCGAAACCCCCAACGAAACAACTCAACCCAAAAAACCCTAAATCCGTACACACTGAAGCCCGAAACCTCAACTGCTGAATTCCAAAAACCATTCGAGCAAAAAAAAAAAAAAAAACGCTCGAGGTTCGCTTGCCCTGTGGCTGGGGAACACAACCGGTTGCGGGTCCAAACGCGCGACTCTCGCGTCCGGCCTGAACCTCAGTGGCTTTAGGGGTTTACAAAGGGCTTCTTGGACTCTGAGGGTTATAGGGTTTTGTAGGGTTCATGGTGTTTTTTTCAGGGTGATAGGGCTTATAGGGTTTACCGGGGTCTACAGGGCTTGCCAGGAGTGTAGCTGTAGGGCTTTAGGATGTTATAGGGTGGCTCATAGGGGTAGTATACAGGGGCTTGTTGGGTTAATGAGGCTTGGGGGTTTGCTTCTGAGGCTTGGCGATTAGGATGTCGTTGTCTATCGGGCTTACCGCCTGACGTTAGCGGAGGGGGTTTAGGCTGGGAGGTTGCCAGTTTATAACGATACCCCACCCTCGCTGCCCCTGGTAAGGGCTTGCGTGTTGCGTCACTAGGGTCCTAGGGCTTTTGTGGTTTAGGACTTGGCATAGGGGCTTTATGGGGTGTGGGTTGGAGAAGGTTAGATAAGTAGCTATTCTGTCAGGACCCAACTGGTTGCCTTGTCTTGGGACCCTACATGGGTATGTCAAGGGTCTAATTTAGGGTCCAAGCAATACAGTCTGACGGGCGAGATCAGCTTGCCCCCGAAAAAACCGTTAGAATCAGACTGCTGAAGGTTTGAGGAACCCTAAACCCTGAACCCTAAACCCTAAACCCTAAACCCTGTCCCAGGAACCAGTAGGACAGCACAGGGCGGTTGTTGAACTGCGCCTGATTCTGCTGCGAGGTGTAGAGGATGCCAATGGCAGTTGGCAGCCCGTAGGCCGTGGACCAAGCCATGAATGTGTCTACCAGCCAGCCAAAGCCTAATATAGGGTTTAGGGTTTAGGGTTTAGGGTTTAGGGTTTAAGGTTTAGGGTTTAGGGCTACTATACGGGCCGGAGTGAATTAGACCATGGTTTTGGGAGTTACTATAGCCATACCTAAACAGGGTACCTCCTCTTCGGCTTCATGTGGTTTGTAAGTTTGTAAGGGCCAGCGTGCACGTAACAAAAGGAAGAAGGCTACTACTGGGCATCCTTGGAGCGAGAAGACAGCACGGGTATGCACTCAGAGGTGTTGTGTCGACAGGCTGGTGCAATCCAGAAGTATCCATCTGGACAATAGGCATGGTACCCACCATCCACCTCTATGAGGCCGTCTAGGTCGCCAGTCCACTGGGCGTACGGATTCATGAACGCTGGGTCTGTCATCATTGTTCCAGTCATATTGCATGGTTGCACCTCATCAATTGGCAAAGCTGCCAATGAGTCGAAGTAGTGCTTTGCGTTGTTGAAGGATGGGTTGTATGATTTGTAAAATTCCAAGGCGATACCAGAATCTTGGTACGCTGACATAGCTACACCCTTGGCCACATACAAGGCTTCCTCACCCGCAAAGCCGATCGAGCCGAGATCTTCCGGCACCTCAGGGGATAATGGACGACCGAGATCGCTACTCTCGCCTACCGGCCTACTGCAACTTAGGGGTTTGGCCCCGAACTCGTTAAACCCAAAACACAAAACCCCGAATTCTAGCCACAGCTAAGGTCGGACAGGGCTTTCGGAGTCGTTCCAAGAGCACCTTGGTCGGATGCTGCTTGGCAAAAGCCCGATAGTCTGCACCATACGCCCCGATCCAACTCTCCAAAGCAACGTGGCCAACATCCCTGAAATTTGTCCTGCTGCAGCAGAGGCATTGTGGCTTTTGGGTTTGGGAAGCTCGAATCAGGGGAATCGGGCTATGGATCTCGAAGATTGGGGTTTAGGGCTTTGGGACTTCAAGACACCCACGCCCTAAACCCCAAAACCGCTAAGCCCTATAAACCCAAAACCCCTTTCGTCCTGTTGCAGTCCGCATCCAGGCAACCAGACAAAGGCAACGTGACGTCCAGCACGGACAGCGGCCGATAGTCGCTCACGAAGGCCCTGTAGCCCAAGACCTCATAGGGTTAGGGTTCAGGGTTTAGGGTTTAGGGTTTAGGGTTTAGGGTTTAGGGTTTAGGGTTTAGGGTTTAGGGTTTAGGGTTTAGGGTTTAGGGTTTAGGGTTTAGGGTTTAGGGTTTAGGGTTTAGGGCTTGCACACTGGCGTCCTAATGCTGATACCCAAGCCCCGAAGTCCTAAACCCCAAAGCCCTCACGAACTACACCGGAAAGCTGTGAGGGAAGAAACAAATCCCTCAGCTTCCCCAGCCTCCCCTCCCGAGACCACAAACTCTCTGCGCGAAACCCATAAGAGCAACCCTGCAAAACCTTCCCCCAGGCCGAGCGATAAACTTGAAATCCTAAGCCCCAAGCCCAAACCTAACCCTAAACCCTAAACCCTAAACCCTAAACCCTAAACCCTAAACCCTAAACCCTAAACCCTAAACCAGGTCTAAGGTAGGATCCCTTGAAAAGAAGGTTGGGGACTTCCGAAAACACTTCCTACCGAGCCTTGGGTCAAAGCAGGACCCTTAAGCGGTTTGGGTTTCGGGTGTAGGTCTAGGGATTAGGGTTTAGGGTTTAGGATTAGGGTTTAGGGTTTAGGGGTTAGGGTTTAGGGTTTAGGGTTTAGGGTTTAGGGTTTAGGGTTTAGGGTTTAGGAATCCAGCCTCTTCAATCAAGATCTTGGCAATAATGGTCTCTAGCTCCGCGGACGGCCAGTCAAAAGCTAGCAGTTCAATCGCAATCTCCTCGCCCTCGGAGTTCCTGCCACATTAGGGTTTAGGGTTTAGGGTTTAGGGTTTAGGGTTTAGGGCTTAGGGCTTAGGGTTTAGTATCGGCTCAAGGGCCCCAAGGCTTCGAGTTTTGCGGCTGAAGGTTTAGAGAGTTAAGGTTTAGGGGGTACTATAGTGCCTGTTAAGGACTGTTAGTAAAAGGGTGAACATCCCAAGTTGATCGAGCTTGATAAGGGATCCCATCCCCCCAAGAAGGGGATGAGGGCATTACTGGGAATCCTCGCCGAGTTCCCCTCGCTTGTCATTCCCCCCACGCAGAAGTGACCCGAAAACCTACACCCCACACCCTTGAGCTGAGCGTTCAAGCCCTGGACCAGAAAACCTCAAATCCCTGAAAGGGAATTCGGCGCCATCTACCCTCCCTAAAGGCCCTAAAGAACACATGGGTGCCAGGCTGTTGATCATCTTTCCTACTGATCCCGGAAGTGCAAAAGAGTCTTGATGATAGCCTCGAACTAGGACGTAGGGTTTGCGGGGCCCTTTACGCGCCCTTATATTTCGGGTATCCCAAAAAGGAATCACAACTCTGGAACGGGCCTGATGAACTTCCGGCCATCCTCCGCAATGCCGTCTGGCAGGCAGAGCTCTACACAGCGGCCAAGAGCCACCAGAAGAGGAAAAAGCCATGCTCGCATAGTGGTGGAGCTGACCGAAAATTTATTCTCAGGGCCTGAGGGTAACTATAGAGCCTTAGTTTGAGAGTTGATGTTATCCGCATTTATCCGCGAAGGATACTTACATCGGGTGCAGGGTTTTTGTGTTTAGGTCTTGTAAGGTTGAAGAGAGGGTTTAGGGTTTTGGGCGTATAGGGTTTGAGGTTTAGCGTGAAGTGAAACTTGGCTTGCTTAAGGATTGGGTTGCGGGCCGGGGACAACGAAGGTCGTAGAGCTCCTCTTCGAGCCATGCTGTCGGCAGGCTCACCATTGGCTGGCTACTGTGTTGTTTTTGCCTCGGCCCGGTTCCTGCTCTCATTCCTTCAAGCCTTAAACCGGAAAAGCCGCAGCATACATGAGACATGGGCATCTTTCGGGGGCGATCTGTGGCCCAACGCCCGGATCCCAAACCCGCCACAGACTTGCAAGAGCACAAGCCATCTTTATGTCTCTGAGCCCTATTCTTCCGGGTAGGAATTTCAAGTAGGCCCTAAATTCCGCAAGAGGATGCTATAGTGGAGTCTTGTTTGGTTTCTTGCGGGAGTGTCTGGGGGCCTTCCCCCCACCCCTTGCCCCCACCCCTCCCGTGCCCCCCCCCCCCCCCCCCCCCCACACCCCCCGTCCTCACGACACATCCCTGGTGGGCCATTCCCGTGTCATGATAAGAGAACTTCGTCAGGTAACATTAGTCGGACGTCGAATACCCAGAACCACTGCGAGAAAATAAAACCAGTAAATAAAACAGCAATAAATAAAAGTACTCGAACATGTCAAGAAGAAGCAACAGTACAAGCACTACTAACAATAAGTCAAGACTAGCAATACTGATACTGAAAATTCAGAAAAAGTACGTAATAGTGGCAATGCGACTGGTAGTAGAATTTGTAGTCGCAGCGTGGCCGCTCGAATTGTTTGATGTAGACAAGCGCGTTCGGGGTTTCAAAGCTCCGCCCATGCTCGCATGGATGATTACATCATCCCTACCGCTACGTCAAGGAGATCTGGGCCTGATGCTACATCCATTCCAGCACCAAAACCTAAAAGCGGTCGCGCAAAAAGCGTGAACAAAGGCATCATGTTCATAGAGCAGCAACATTTTCTGCCTCTTATAGGCGAAGAAACTCATTCCCAGCTTACATGAGCCGCCCCCAGGCAGTAGTAGTAGGAGAAGGCAGGAGCAGGAGCAGGAGCAGGAGCAGGAGCAGGAGCAGCAGCAGCAGCAGGAGCAGGAGCAGGAGCAGGAGCAGGAGCAGGAGCAGGAGCAGGAGCAGGAGCAGGAGCAGGAGCAGCAGCAGCAGCAGCAGCAGCAGCAGCAGCAGCAGGAGGAGTGGAAGGCGCGCTGTTTTTTGATGCTCCTGCATCTTAGCGGCCCCAGTGAAGTGCTTCCTTCTCCGCCGACCGCCGGTACGTGGCCGCCTCGATAAACATGAGCCAAGGCATCTGTAGGGGTGTTTAGGGATGAGGGTTGCGGGTTGGGGTTTAGGGTTTAGGGTTTAGAGTTTAGGGTTTAGGGTTTAGGGTTTAGGGTTTAGCGTTTTGGGTTTAGGGTTTAGGGTTCGGCGATTTGAGGGTTGCGCGGAGGGTCCACCACTAGGTTTCCGATGGCGTGATTGAGGTTTGGGGGAGCAGAATTCCCCGTAGGTGCACTGCAAGTGGACGCTCTGGATGTTTGAGGGCTTGTCGCTCCGGGGTTTAGGTTTAGGGATCTCAGAGATGGCTGCGGGGGACGCCCCCAGCCTTACAGAGAACTTTGAAAGCCATGAGTCCTAATCCTAAGCCCTATAAGCCAAGATGGGTGTAGGGTCCTCGAAGTTCGAATGAAGCTGAGCGGACACGACAAAGCCCAAGAGAACCCCCACAACCCCTAAGCCTTAAGCGGGAGTGGCTTCGTTCACCAGACTCTGCCCCCTCCCCCCTCCCATTCCCGCATCCCCCCTGCCCCCATCCCAGTCTGCACCCATGCATAAACAGAGCTTGGGCCACAGCAGGTCCAGCCTGCGTGATAGGTCGCCGCTTCATGACCTTCAAGTTCAGCTCTACTCTAGCTCTACTTTTGTACCTAGAGGGCAGCCTAAGAGGCACAAGGACATTTTGGATTGAGAGCTTCGAGTTTTGTGCATTGGGTGTAGAGCAACAGGGATTAGGTTTTGTGCCTTAAGGGCTTCTAGGCCGGGCCAGAGGCCCGTTAACCCTAGCAGACGTTGCACGCGAAGGCACGGTAAGCAGAGCGCAAGCAACGGGCAAGCGGCGGACGCCGTGTGGAAACATGGGTGCCTCTCATACAGCGAAGTTTCAAAATCCTAAGCTTAAGCCTTATGCTTAATTGAGGCAAAGTGAAATCCTCGAGCGCAACTAAAACTCAGCTCCCTTGTTGAAAACTGAGGGCTTGGGGCTTACGCGCTTGAAGGCTTTAGGCTCAGGACTTTCGATTTGGCGCCGGCAAATTTGACCCAACCCCCAAGTCCTAAACACCCCTATGCCACAAGACCCCAAAACCTAAACCCTCAGCCGCCCTCTCAGGCTCCCACTACTCGTGGTGCCACCAGCAGGTAGGACACTACTCCGGCGATGCCCAGGACGGTGGTCACCTAAAGTTCCTATGGTTGAAGGTTTGGGATTTCAAGCTTAGCGGCACGGGGCTTTCGTTTCAGGCTTATGAAGGGCTTATAAAGTGAAGTTTTACAGTCTTCGTGTAAACAGGTGCAAAATTTAGAGTTCTGGGCTTTGGCCGTTTAACCCTAAAACTTAAACCCTAAACCCTAACTCTGTTGGTGTTTAGATTTCGTGGTTTAGCCAGCTGTGCTCGCCTGCAACCCGAAAGCCAAACTGACGGTTCTTAGCCTTTCAGGGAAATCGGTAAACCCTTAACGGTTACAACAGTGGATATGAGTTCACCTCATTCCCTATACTACCTCTTCTATGTATACTTGAAAGTTTGGCAACTTTTGGTGGCAGGGAGGTGCTTTGGATTTTGGATTGGGTGGTGTGATATCGGGGGACCTCCTTCCCGGTTCCTGGCCTCTTCATGACCTGTTGTGGGCCGGCAATACAGGGCAAGGGGGATGCAAGGAGGCTGCCGGGGCTTGCACGCCACGAGCTAAAAGCACTTCATGGATGATCTTGAGCTAGAAGACTGTGGTAATATGTGTTTCGAAACAGAAATACATGTATTTAAGTGAGGTATTGCATGCATCGCATGTAAATGCTCTTGACAGGCTTGCAATTGGAGAATCTTTGAGCTTCTCTCAGCCCTTCACCAATGCAGCACACTCTTCTTGAGGCTGGGAGAGTTTTTCAGCCGTGACGACAGTCCAAGTTTGGTCTTTTCCCGATATCCGCATGCACCGTTTTTGTTCGGGAATCGTCTGAAGGCACCCGGGGCATGAGATCCTTCACGATCATGCCATCCCCATTGGCATTGAACAAGCTTCTCCATTTTGACAGAGTACCCAATCCTAACAGGACAGCTCCAATAAGTACTTGCTGCAGGGGTAGAATCGAACAAAAGACCGACTGAAGCAGGTCTGCCTTGAGTAAGGCGACCTGCATGTCCTCCCGTTTTCTTTGTCTAAACCCTAAACCCTAAACCCTAAACCCTCAACCCTAAACCATTGTACAAAGCTGGACCTATGCTCACTGGCTTGGGCTCTGGAGCCCCATGGCGACTCTAAAGGAGTCCCTCTCTGCGTAGTGGGTCTTTCCGCACATTTCGTGTCATCTCAGTTGTCCAGTACCTAGGGGTTTTAAAGGTTAACCTTTGGGAATATAAGGGGAATATATTAACCCAAAAAGGTTAAAGGTTGGCTACTCTACTACTAAGTCATAGCCAAAAGCCCAACACACGTCGACCCTAAACTCCCATCACGGGGCCGCGAGGCAATCGTGCCGAAGAGGAGAACGGCAACCAGGGACACCTCTTGAGGCTTCGAGGGGGGTTTTGGGGTGGTTTAGGGGGGGGGGTTTGGGGTCAGGAATTGGGGTTTGGAATTGGGTTTTGAGTTTTTCGGCTGTTCCTGGGTTTAAGTTTTGGGTTTTAGGTTGTCCGCGGACTTAAAGTTCTGGGTTGTTAGGTTCGAAGCTTGCGGGCTTCTCATGCTTTGAGGAGGTACATGCAACGTTTAGTTAGGGCCCTATGGTCTCAATGAGCTTTCGAGGGAGGGTTCGGGGTTCAAATGAACCCTCAACCAAATACACCTTACACCTTAAACCACGAAACCCTACCTTGCACCCCGAAACCCCCAGAGCCTCCGAAGGTCAGGAGAAGTCCAACCCTTCATGAAGCTTTTTCCCGTCAACTTTAGGGTTTAGGGTTTTTCTAAGAGGGTTTAGGGTTTAGGGTTTAGGGTTTAGGGTTTAGGGTTTAGGGTTTAGGGTTTCGGGTTTCGGGTTTTGGGTTTAGGGTTTAGGGATCCCTGAACCCATTTCGTACAAGATGGGTTTCAGGTTCTAATGGCCCCCAACCCTACCGCCGGGTGTCCCCCCCCCCCCCCCACGCCTTGTTGTTCTCGTTTTGCAGCAGCTTTCTCCTGAAAAGGGAACGCCCCAGGACAAACCACAATGCCAGAAGCCTGACTATGAAATAGGGCTTTGGGTTTATGAGGTTAGTTAGGGTCTAGGGCTCGGGTAGAACCCCTGGATTCCCATTTTTGTATCCTCAAACGGAGAACCAACATATATACTCAATGGTTCTAAGGGCAATATCGGCAACCAACAAATAACAACATGATAACCACAATACAACAACACCGAAATCCAATATACTGCCGCCCTGGGAGGCGTGGCTCCCATGTGTCGTGGCTTCATTTTTGCGCACCCAAAACTCAAGCAACGAACCTGCAACTTTCAAGTGACCGCATAGCTGAAGAGGCTTGGCTCCATTCGTGATGGCTGCATCCTTGTCCACACCAACTTCAGGTAACAAGCGTAAAGCGTTTAAGCGGTCGAGCGTCTACAAGGGTACGAAGTTGCAGAGAGAGGCCAGTGAGAAAACATCGGGGAAGGTTCTGTCAAAACTTCATTGTATCCCTAAACTCAAAGCACAGTATCCGCAAACAAATAATCCCTACGTAAGCCACGTCCCCAACTCCTACACCCCAGAAACCCCGAAGCCCTAAACCAAAAGCTCAAAGATGCAATGCTCTCTTATATGTATGGGCCCCTACCTTGGCCTTTATCCAAGCTGCCTTTGCGTGTTGTCGGGTTCAGCGTGTGTACGCTTTAGGGTCCTTGCAATTGGGGCTTAGGAATCAAGGCTGTCTTTTTATTCTGATTTTTATTAGTTTACTTAATTATGTTTTTTTTTTTTGGGGGGGGGGGGCAAGGTCACTACTTGAAAGCCGACTGGTAGAGGTCCATGCTCTGCGAGTTCCTCTGCAGGCCCCTAAGCCCTAGACCCTAAGGCTGCAAACGCCAAGCCCGTGCATCTGCTCAGTGAGGTTTCTGGGTTCAGGAGCTCAACAAGCCCGACATACCTGAAAGCTGACTAGTTCTTAATAGTGAACGGGGACCGAACACCTTGTATCCCCACCAATACACGCCTTTAAGGGGATTTTTGTACCGTTGAATTTCCCCATAATGCCAGACCCGGAACCAGAAATGTTAAACCGCAAGACTGAAACCCAGAACGCCAATCTCAGCCCGAAACCCCCCCTTCAACCCCTGTCCAGGCTTTTTGACCATGGTTTGAGACCTTTCATTGTTTGGCTACCCTCAAACCTCCAGTCTAAAGCCTCAAGGTCTTTGGGGTTTAGGGTTTCGGGCTTTAGGGTTTAGGGTTTAGGGTTTAGGGTTCCTACACCCCCTACCGCCAAGCAAAGCCCCTCCTCTGTCGGCGGTCACTGAGCGCGGTGACGATTGGAACCTGGGACACGTTGGCCTCCAGGATCCAGGGTTAGGGTTTAGGGTTTCGGGTTTCGGGTTTAGGGTTTAGGGTTTAGGGTTTAGGGTTTAGGGTTTAGGGTTTAGGGTTTAGGATTTAGGGTTTAGGGTTTAGGGTTTTGGAGTGGCAGGGGTTAAGGGTTTAGGGTTCAGGGTTTTGGGGAGTGCGAGCTTCTCAGGAGTTTAAGGCAATAAGGGCCTTATAAGGGTTTAAGGGCTTAAAGGCTTCCGCGCGGGGGGGGGGGGGGGGGGGGGTGGGGAGGGCCCAAGCCCTAAACCCTACGCCAGGGCCCAAGCCCTAAACCCTACAACCTGACAGGCTTCAAAATACCTTAATTAGAACCCACAAGAATGCTATGTTGTAACCCACAAAGAGGTTTTGGGTTCTTAATGCAGAGCTTGAGGCCTTCAGGGTTTTCGGTTTAGGCTTTTGGCTTTATAGCGGCTGAGGCTTTATAGGGCTTAACGTGGCAGGGAGTGTAGGCTTTTTTTGGCTTGGGGGGTTGCAAGGGTTAGGGGTTCAGGGGTCAGGTCCCCCTACACCCAAGCCTAAATTTCAAGAGCCCGAAGCCTCGAATCTTACATGACAAACATGCTGGCTTCCTCGTAGGGAATGCGCAACTCAGGTCAATAGGCATCCCCACTACCTTTTGAAGGCTTCTACAAGGAGGACTCTGTTCCTGAATTCCATACGCAGAAGCCCTCCAAAGCATAGGGCCTTAAACCCTAGCCCGGCCACAAGGTGAGCCGTCTGATTCTGCAGGAGGTGGTCCTCCCAGGAGTGCTCGCAGCTTTCGGGCTTGGAAAGTTTAGGCTTAAGGTTTAGGGCATGGGGTTTATAGGGTTTCTAGGGTTTATAGGGATTATAGGGTGTATAGGGTTTAGGGTTTAGTAGAGTTTAGCCCTAGACCCTAAACCCGGAAAGTCCCTCAATCTGCAAAGTGCTGCCGCTCCTTGTCCACACGGCCGGCGAGTGGAAGTCGGGAGCCTGAGACCGTCTGCCGGGGCCGAAGGTTTACTAGGATGGCCCCTTAAACCCCTCTGAAAAATCAACCTAAATACAGTATGATCCTACAAAACCCAGTTTAGTTCACCTAGCTTCGGGAGCAGAGCACAGGGCTTTGGGGACGAAGTCCGGGGTTTCGGGTTCAGGCCCTGGGGTGCTTCGGGCCTTTGAGTGTGCGGCTTGAGCTAGTGAGTTGCCGTGCAGGCGCTCGTTGGGCTTGCAGACTCCTTCTATTCCTGATGGTGGCTTGGGGTGCCAACAAAGGCCAGAAATGTGGGGTTTAGGGCTCAAGGTTTACGGGGTTTAGGGTTGAGGATTTCAGGGCCTGCTCGTTTCATAATTTGGGCGTTGCTGCCTAGATCGGGTAAATGCCTTAGGTCCAATAACTGTAAACCCTAAACACGACAGAGCTCCGCAACAAAACTCAAGTTCTTTCGGGTCGGGGGCGGCAGGGGAGGTGTGTTCACAACCCAAAGACCCTAAAGCCCCTGAATCTTCAACTCCTATAACCCACAGCCTAAACCCCTAGCATCTTCAACCCCAAAACCCCAAACCCTAGAACCCTAAACCCTGAACCCCAAACCCTAGAACCCTAATCCCTGAACCCTAAACCCTAAACCCTAGACCCTGTAAAACCCTCCCATACATCCTGTAAACTGTTCGATGTCGGATCGGCTGGGCTCCACGCGATTGCCTGCCTCGGAGTCCTGCTCCAAGGCGAGGCTGTCGCCCTTCCAGGCTGAGGATTTCGGATTTAGGGTTTAGGGTTAGGGTTTCGGGCTTGGGGTTTCGGGTTTAGGGATTGGGTTTAGGGATTGGGTTATTGGGTTTAGGGATTGGGGTTTAGGGTTTAGGGTTTAGGGATAGGGTTTAGGGTTTAGGGTTTGGGGTTTAGGGTTTAGGGTTTGGGGTTTACAGGGCTTAGGGTTTAGGGTTTTAGGGTTGTGGTGTTAGGGTTGTAGGGATTCAGGGTTTTAGGGTTTAAGGTTTTAGGGCTTTGGGGTGAGTCTGGTCCAGCAGAAGCCCTTGAGCCCTCTGGGCGGACTGGTGCAGTCCTAGCAGACTCCTGGAGCAGAGGCATAATGACCAGGTATGGGGTGTAGGGTTTAAGGTTTGGGGTCGTTAACATATATGTTAATGGGTTTAGGGTTTATGAACATACCGTGGTAGGTTTGGGCGGGGAGGGGGGGGAGAGGCCCAGGTATTCAGGCCCATAGAGCTGCACAAGGGGTTCTCCAAATCAACGCCACTGGGTTGGCGCGAAAAAATCATTCCTAAATATGATCCTCCCAAGGGCCTTTGCAGATTCCAGCTATTTTGGGTTTAAACCCTAAACACTAAACCCTAAATCCCTATGACGAATTCCCTCAGCCAATGAGCCGTCAAGCGTGTCAAACCATGATGAAACCAAACTCGCGTTAAGATCAAACGTGCGCGCGCCTTCTGGCGCCTCATCACCTGCAGCGGGTTAGGGTTTAGAATAAAGCCCAAAACTTTAAACCGTAAACCCCAAACCCCAAACTCGCTAGAAGGCTGTTGCAAGGTCCAGGGCTCCAAAGCCGCATACCACTACAGCAACGAGAGTGTCTTGCAAGGCTATAGAGCATCGAAGCTTCACTTTTAAACAAAGTCGGGCCCATTTTGGAAAACAAGTGTCTTTGCCACGTAGCATGAGCCCTTAATGTGGAGATCATCCACCCATATACTTTCCTGAACAGCTACAGCATGCCGAGATTGCTGGCCTGCATTTCCGCGCGCCGTATTCACTACTAAGAGATACTCAGAGTCTCTTGACAGTTTTAGAGCTTAGTGTTTACGGTTTATGATCACTTTTAGGTGTTCGGATTCTAGGTGTGTTCGGATTCTAGGCTTGCTGCTTAGGAGTGAAGGATAGGCTTTAGGGCCTTTAAGGTCGAGAAAGCACGGTTTCAGGCATTGTGGTGGCAACACTTGCAATCAAGCGGTTGGAGGTAGCTGTAACGTTAACGATAATCAGGGGAATTTCGCAACACTATAGTACACTATAGCATACGATAGTGTAGTATACTCTTCTACACACTAGTATACTCTCTCCTATACTCTGGTATACACTGGTATATACCCTGCTGTTTCGTGGAGCCCATCGGTAGACTGTACACTGTACATTCTCTGCCGAGCCCAGATCTCAGACAGGGCCTGAAGAAGGGGTTTAGGGTTTAGGGTTTAGGGTTTAGGGTTTAGGGTTTAGGTTTCAGGGTTTAGGGTTTAGAGAGACTTAGAGGGCCAGAAGGCCGGGAGGCGGGCCAAGCCACTTCAGTATGAGACATACGCGAATTAAATACTATTTTTACTATAGCTGTACTAAAATACGATATGACTGCTATATAATTACTGCAGTACTATTCTACCAATTTTCTGGCCCATGAACGTAGCAACTGAGCATACGATGCTGCTACAGTTTCTGATCCTTCCTGGGGATCAGGGCTTCAGGCTGCTCTCCCCGCTGTGACTGGCCCACCCTCAGGGCTGTACAAGGCGGCAAAAGGCCTTCAGTCTGAGAAAGGTCGGAAAAGACCACAGGGTTTAGGGTTTAGGGTTTAGGGTTTAGGGTTTAGGGTTTAGGGTTTAGGGTTTAGGGTTTAGGGTTTAGGGTTTAGGGTTTAGGGTTTAGGGTTTAGGGTTTAGGGCTCACTCCTCCAAGACGAAGTAGCTGCCCGACTTCTTTTGCTCAAGGTCCGAGCTGGAGCCGGGTTTGTTGATCCGAGGTCGATGGTTGTGTGGGTCTCTGCCTTAGCTGCTGAGTTCATCAGCCCCCTCCCCCCCCAAAAAAAGTGTACACTTTCAGCTCTAGAGGGGAGTGTATAGTATCCCAAAAAGGGGAGTGTATGGTAGTATCCCAAAAAGGTGTAAAGTGTACTCACTCAGCAATGCTAAGCTGCGGAAGGTGACTTCCAGCTGGGCCAAGAAGCGGTTCATGCCTTCAAGCAGGGACATGGGGGCAGAAGCTTCGCAACGAACTCCAGGCTGCCCTTCGTAGACAATGACGCGGTCCGCCAGGTATGTAGCCATCATGAAGTCATGCTCGACTATGAAGGCTGTCTTCTTCCGGTGCATGAAGAACCTTCTCATCACACGAGCGGCAGCGACTCGCTGCTCAACATCCAAGTCTGCTGAGGGCTCGTCCAGGAGGTAGATGTCTGCATCTTGGCCGAGGGCCAGCACGAGAGCAAGCCTCTGCCTCTCGCCACCACTGAGGGTTTGCACGCGACACCTGGCAATGCTGTCGATAAGCATAGGCTTGACCACCTCTGTCTGGAAAAGGGGGTCCAAATACGCTGGCCGAATCCTCTTCAGAAGCAGCTCCTCCACAGTACCCTCAAACTTTGGAGTGAACTCCTGCGGCTTGTGCGAGACCTTGAGCTTTGGCATCCCGCCTTTTACATCATCAGGGGCAAGCCGTCCAGCTAGCATCTGGATGAAGGTGGTTTTTCCACAGCCATTCTGGCCCAAAAGCACCACTATCTCAGAGGATGCAAAATGTCCTGCCCTGACGTCTAAGATGAAGCTTCCCTTCTGCATAGACATTTCGGGGTACTCGGTTTGGTGCATTCGCTCGGGTCCTGGCAGATCAAGCCGCTCGCGGATCTTGAAGGACAGCGAGGACTCACGAAATCGGAGGTTCTCCGTGGGGATGAAGCCGTCGAGAAACACGTTGATGCCTTGACGAACGCCGTAGGGCATCGTGACAACTCCATAGGCCCCAGCGGATCCCCACAAGCAACAGACGTAGTCCGACATGAAATCCAAGACGGCCAGGTCATGCTCGACAACGATGAGGTAGTTCCTATACTGAACTTGGAACCCTCGCAAAATACTATATTTGTTGCTGTTTGTTAGGTTTGTTAGGAATTAAAGTACCCAAAGATTAAAATATTTCCGAGTATCCCTAAGGTTCTGCGCCGTCTGCAGGCTGCGGATGGCCTTTGCAGCAGCTAGGCGCTGCCTCACATCCAGGAACGAAGAAGGCTCGTCAAAGATGTACACCTGCGCGTGCTGCGTGCAAACGGTTGCGATGGCAAGGCGTTGAAGCTCACCCCCAGAGAGAGCTTCGACCTCTCGCTCTAGTAGGTGCAAGAGCTCCAGCTCCTGGCAAAACTTTCGCCTGGGCTCGTTCTCGCCGCGGCCCAAGATGTCACCGACATTGCCAGGAAGCTTCCGCAACTCCGTGACATGCTGTGGCTTCATCGCCACCTCCAGGCGATCCTCCAGCAGATCTTTGAAGTATCGCTGCAAGCTGCTGCCTCGGAATTCCTGGAGAAGCTCCTGCCAGTCGGGCGGATTGTCCACGTAGCCCAGGTTCGGCTTCAGCCTGCCTGCCAGCACTTGGAGGGCGGTGGATTTCCCCATGCCATTTGAGCCAAGAAGGCCCAGCACCTGCCCAGCGCGTGGCATCGGCAATCGGTGGAGCTTGAAGCCGTTGTGCCCGTGCCGGTGCGTGGCGACCCCCGAGAGATCTCTGGGCAAGTTTATGATGCTGATCGCGTTGAAGGGGCAGCGCTTCACGCAAATGCCGCAGCCAGTACACAGCGACTCGGAGATATAGCTGATCTTGGAGTCTCGACTGACCTCAACACAGCGCTTTCCTTGCTCCTCCCTGGGGCAGGACTTCTTGCATTCTTGATGACAGGACTTTGGCTTGCAACGGTCCGAGCTAACGATTGCAATTCGCAGCTTCTTCTCATCCTGTGCGACTGCAGCCTTCTGCTTCTTCTTGGCCATGACTTCGGCGAAGCCGTGACTGGGGCCATTCGAGCAACACTAATTACGGCACCAGCATGCGCAGCCCACCCGCTACAACAGGTGCAAGTCAAAAGAAGTCAAGGGCTGGAGCTCTCTCTTTGTCAACGGCTCTGAGCGCTCAGCAGCCCGAAACTCTGAGCCCTTATGACCCTAAGACCCTCAGACCCTGGCCTGGTCAACCTGCCTGATCCTACCCCCCCGCCCCCCCCCCCCCCCCCCACCCCCCCCCCCCCCCCCCCCACCCCCCCCGCCCCCCCCCCCCCCCCCACCCCCCCCCAAGCAACTTTTTTTACGCTCTGGGCTGTCACCTGTTAGGGGTGTTTCCGACCAAAACTGGAGCCCGAGACATCTCGAAACCCTGAGCCCTAAACCCGGCTAGCAGGGGGAACAAGAGAAATTCCCAGAACTCGCTTGCGCGAACCTGCGCGGGTGCTGCAGGGGCCAAAGAGCCATCTGCCTCGACCTTTCAGGGTTTCCAGGGTTTAGGGTTTAGGGTTCCGAGATGTTCAGAGTTTAGGGCTCTTAGTGGCTTTATGGGCCTACAACCCAGGACTAACCCCTACCCTGCAGGGTGAGGGGTGAAAGCCTCCAAGATCCTCCAAGTGACCTGTGACTGAAGCCTGTGAGGACCCAGCTCCAGAACCTCAGGGCTAAAGCACTGCAAACCCCAAACCCTAAAGCGTAGACTTCGGGACAATTGCAGGTCGGGGGGGGGGTGTAAACAACAAAGGGAGGATTTTGGGGTTGTTGTGTCTCGCGATTCTTTCCCGGGATGTGGAGGGTGTGGGTGGGTGTGTGTGTGGGTGGGTGGGTGGGGATTGGTATGTTTAGGGTTTACGGTCTCGGCCTAAACTCCTCAACCAGATCTAGAGGCTCTGGGCCAAAAAACGTCAACCAGCGGTAACCAGCGTCTCTGGGCGCAGCTGCTTCTCTGACGGGTTCAGTGCTTTCCGCCGAGGTGAGAGGTTCAGGGGTTTAGGGATTTAGGGCTTTAGGGGTTCGGGGTTTATTTACGTAGGTATCGGGATGCGGGAGTGCAAGGGTTTAAGGATTTAGAGTTCGAGCCTGAAGCACTCAGAAGGGTGTTCAGCAAAGAGGGGGTTTACAGCACATGGCTCTGGATGATTCGTTTCGGGTAAGACGGCCAAGCCCCTTATCGCTTGAGATGAAGGGCTGTTCCAGCCTGGATCTGGACTTGCTTCCGGAGGGGCTCGTGATCCTTGTCCAACCTGCGAAGGGCCGCCCCCGCCGCCCCAAGCCTACAGTACCCGAGTTCGCTTCCTGCAGCTTAGGCAACTCAATCTGAATCCAAAAGGCTACACTACCTTTACAATCTCCACTGAGCCCCCAAAAGTACCTCAGGAAACCAAAAAACCCGCAATTCTGTCTCTACATGTTCCTGAACCCTCACCTCAGCTCTTTTCCCTACATGCCTGTGGAAGCTCTCACAAGCAACGCACCAAATGCCCTGAAGCCCTAGATGCCCTATAACTTTAAACCCTATGAACACCTGAACCCTAAACCCTAAACAATAACCCTAAACCCGAAAGAATAGCCCTAAGCCCTAAGCCCTAAGCCCTAAGCCCTAAGCCCTAAGCCCTAAGCCCTAAGCCCTAAGCCCTAAGCCCTAAGCCCTAAGCCCTAAACCCTAAACCCTAAACCTAAACCCTAATCCCCAACCCCAACCCTACACTTGGCGCCGCGCGACGCGGCGAAGCCGAACCTGCAAACGGCCAGTGCCACATACGCCGTAGCCTTGGAAGCGCATGCCGGACCAACGCCAGCGGAGTTTTGGGGTTTAGGGTTTAGGGTTTAGGGTTTAAAGGGTTTAGGGTTTAGGGCTTTACGGCTTTACGGCTTTACGGCTTTGCGAGCAGGGTTTGAGGGTTTTCGGGGTTAGGGTTTCAGGGGCTTATGGGGGGCTTTAGGGCTTTAGGGCTTTAGGGCTTTATGGCTTTAGGGTTTTCGGGGTTGGGGTTTCAGGGGTTTAGGGTTTTAGGACTAGGGCTTTAGCGGTAGAGGTTGCGTATTTCGGGGATTAGGGTTTTAGGATCTCGGTTTCGACCGATGTACACGACCGACCGTCCTCACCCAAAACCCAAAACCCAAAACCCAAAACCCAAAACCCAAAACCCAAAACCCAAAACCCAAAACCCAAAACCCTAAACCCTAAACCCTAAACCCTAACCTTGCTGTGAGCCCCGACTGGCGTTTGTTTCGGGCGTAGGTGGAAGATGGACAGAAGCCGAGGCCCAAACCCACATGAAAAGGAGACGGAACCCTAGCCTGCCAGGCTTAGGGTTTAGGGTTTAGGGTTTCGGGTTAAGGGTTTAGGGGTTAGGGGTTAGGGTTTAATTGGGGTTCAGGGTTTAATTAGGGTTTGGGGTTTAGGGTTTAGGGTTTAGGGTTTGGGGTTTAGGGTTTAGGGTTTACGATTGGCAGGGCCAGGACATGACTAGTTAGAAGGGCTTCGAGCAATTAGCAAAAACCCGACCCGCCCAGAGGGTCCCATAACACTCCGAAAACATAAAGATTTCATTCTTTATAGTGCGCAGCTTTTCCTAAACCTTTTGCTTCACACCTATTTGTTCCAGAAGCTCTCCAAAGCTCCCAAAAGAGGCTCCCAAAAGAGGCTCCCCACCCCACCCTCGCACCAAACCCATTTGACCCATTAGGCTAAATCGACGAAGAACTTGCCTAAATCGACGAAGGACTTGCCTAAATCGACGAAGGATTTGCCTAAATCACGAAGGATTTGCCTAAATCGACGAATGTCAGAGGATGGCCCCTATAAGCCCTAAGCCGCTCCCCCCCCCCCTCCCCCCCCTCCCCCCCCTCCCCCCCCTCCCCCCCCCCCCCCCCTCCCCCCCTCCCCCCCCTCCCCCCCCTCCCCCCCCTCCCCCCCCCTCAAAACCCCAAACCCCAAACCCTAAACCCAGACGCCTGGAACAAGATCGTCTGCCAGGGCCTCAGTGACTCAGAGGCGGGCACTGAACCCCACGAGCCCCCAAAGCTGAGCAGTGAAATGCCGAAACCTGGCATCTTGCCCCCCCCCCCCCCCCCCCACCCCTTCCTTGCTAGCACCTCAACGGGAATTAGAGAATCAGGTTGAGTAAGGGAAAAAGCAGCGCAAACGGGGGGGGGGGAGGTGGGGGTAAGGTACGATTGCCCAAATCAGCCGCTGGCTTAGGCCCTGGCCGGCACAACCTGAATTCCTCTAACCACGGGACATTTGAGGCACATGTCTGAGCCACTGCAGGTTGCGAGAGGATGCTTCAACCAAGGGTGCCAAAACCCCACGTGAACCCCAATGGTTTCAGGGCTTCGGATGTAGGGCGTGGGGCTTGGGGCTTATCGCAGCTAAGGGCGTCGAAGGGAGATGGCAGGTAACCTTCACTTCCAACATCAAACCCAGTGTAGAACTCTGCAAGAAGATGCAACTCAAGTCGGGCCAGTTTTTTGCTGAACAGCGGCCCACACCTTTTCTCATGCAGCTGCCAAAAGCAGCTGCTCATCTACGCCGCAAGGTGGGACACTCTAGGGTTTAGGGTTTAGGGTTTGTAAAGGGTGTAGGGTTTAGAGTTGAGGTGCAGGGAAAGCTTCTCTTGCCAGTAGGGCAACAGGACTCGGTGCCCTGTGCAACTGCTCTCCTAAAGGAAGGTCTGGGTGTCACATTTCCCCACTTAAGCTTCAATCGCTCGCAGCAGACTGTACACTATCGAGGCGGCAGACTGACCAAAGAGCACCCGAAGGACCCCGAAGCTCTAAGCCCTCAACCCCAAACCCAAAACGCAGGGCTTATATAGGGAATTCCAAACCTTCTCCCTTCTCACCCTAGACCCTCCACTTGAGGGGCTCTCCAGTAATGAACACGAAAAACGAAAACACCCTTAGAGAGAGAAAACAAAAAACGAAACGAAACCAAAAGGGAATGAAATGTGCCACTGCGGTTCCAGACCCTGAGCCCTCAACACCCATTGAGCTCAAGCTGAAACTGGCGCCTCGTGCTGCTACTACTGCACGCCACCCTCTGCAACTATGCAGCAGGGTACAACCCTGCACTGCCCATGCAGCCTCGCAGTGCATACGCAAACCCTTACCCTTGCTACCCCGAGACCTTTGGACCTTTTCCGCAAACTCGAAGCAGCCACTACCCTAGCCCCTGAAAACCTGAACCCCGAACCTCAAACCCCAAACCCTTAACTAACCCAGCCCTCCACCCCCTACAACCCTGAAAAGCTTGAAGCTGCATGTTCAGCTGGTAGGCTAGCGGAAAAGAATGGATGCCCTTGGCTCCAGGGTATGAGATTAAAGCCCTAGGGCTTAGGGATACAGGGTGCAGAGGGCTTGCAAAGCACACAGGGTTGACTTTCTAGGGTTTGGGGCCCTACTTCTCTGACAAGAATAGACTGTACAAGCCATAGCTTGAGGTACCCAAGAAAAGAACGACGATGACCATACCTATAGACTGGTAAACCCTGGAGGTTTAGGTAGGGCAAAGCGGCTCAGGGGCCTCCAGCCCTAAATCCCAAAACCAAAACTCTGGAGCTGGAGGTTTAGGTAGAGGGCTCAGGCTTCCGCGTGGTTCAACAGGCAGGTCTGGCAACAACACGAGCTGCCGGGCTTTGGCGTTTCAGGTGTACGGTTTGAGGAGTTTCGGCTTGGTTTGGGCTTTGAGGGTTGAGGGTTGAGGGTTGAGGGTTGAGGGTTGAGGGTTGAGGGTTGAGGGTTGAGGGTTGAGGGTTGAGGGTTGAGGGTTGAGGGTTGAGGGGTGAGGGTTGAGGGTTGAGGGTTGAGGGTTGAGGGTTGAGGGTTGAGGGTTGAGGGTTGAGGGTTGAGGGTTTAGGGTTTAGGGTTTAGGGTTTAGGGTTTAGGGTTTAGGGTTTAGGGTTTAGGGTTTAGGGCCTTTCAGGTCTTAAGGTTGGCTTGGGGTTTAAGGGTTAGGGCTTTAGGGTTAGCTGTCGCGGGCCAAATCAAATCCGGAACCCTCTACACCCGAGTCCGACACCCGAAAGCAGGAAGCCCACCAAACCCGAAACCCAAATCTATTTTGACAGCTAAGGGGCACAACTCTTACAGGCCCAAGCCAGACTTCTTCCCATGGTGGTCGAGGGTTTAGGGCTTCGAGATTAGGGTTTAGGGTTCCAGGAAGCAAGTAAAAGCCCTAAACCCTAAACCCTAAACCCTAGGCCCTATACGCCCTATAAACCCTAAACCCCAAACCCTATGTGGGGGTGTTTTGCTTTCGTTTCGTGTGGGGGTCCCGGAGGGGAGGGGCTCGGGGAGAGAGGAGTCCTGTGTATCCCAAAAAGGGTGCATCTACCAAGGGTGCCGTTTCTTTAGAACAATGCCCACAACGGGTTTAGGGTTTAGGATTTAGGGTTTAGGGTTAGGGTTTAGGGTTGAGGGTTTAGGGTTTAGGGTTTAGGGTTTAGTTAGGGTTTAGGATTAAGGGTTTAAGGGTCCAGGCGTGGGCGCTTGGCCCTGGGCGGGGGTTGGGGTTTCGAGTGTTTCTGGAGTTTAATGTCGCAAGACATCCTCGGCATCTAATTCCTTCTGGGAAGTCCTGACCACCCTAAAAACTAAACCCCAAAACACTAGACCCCTAAACCCCCGTAATCTTCAGAGACCTACACCCCTCAACCCCTAAGCCCCGGCCTGTACGCGCTGCTCCGAAGCAAGCTGTCCAGATGCATGCTCTGCGAGGGGTCGAGCGAAGCCTCGCGTCCAACCCCTATTACCTATTGCCCCCCAAATCCCTAAACCCTAAACCCTAGACCCCTAAACCCTAAACCCCTAAATGCCCAAAACCCTAAACTCCCTAAACCCAAACTAAAGACCCGGGTTGTGAGTTTTGTTCTCTGCGTTAAGAGGGTTGAGGGAACTTCAGAGTTCTATGGACTCCGGATCTTAAAGAAGCCCTGCAGGATCGACAGAACCCCAAAAGCCCTTTCAACCCTATCAAATCTATAAATTAAACCCTGCATAAGCCCTACAAACCCCATAAGAAGCCCCCCCCTTCCCCCCACCCCAAAGTCAAGGCCTGGGTCTTCAGCCTCCTCAGCACGCCGCAACCCCAAGCTTCAAAAGCGCCTGAAGGCCTGAAGTTAGCGCCCCGAAAAACCCCCCAAGTCCTGTGAGCGCTCTCTAAAGCCCGAAACCCCAAGACCCAAACCCCTGAGCCACCGCCAACCCCCCCCCCCCCCCCCGCGCAAAGAGCAAACAACCTGGGGAAGCTGAAAGTGGTCGTCCAACGCCGGAGGGCCGGAGATTCCCATCCTCGGGTTCCAGTGAGGATGACCCGACACCCGAAACCCCAAACCCCAAACCCTACTCGAGGGCTTGGGGTGTAGGCTTCATGGGCACCAGGGTGTTTCCAAGGCTTAGGGTTTTTAGGGTTTTTGGGCTTTTGTTGCGGCTGAAGGGGCTTTGGGGTCAGGACGGGCCCCCTCGTTTCTAGAGCTTGGGGCTTAGGATTTCGAGCTGAAGCTTTGGACCTCCTGGCAACGCAGAAGCCTGCACAACTTTGAGCCTGAAGGCCTGCAACCTACATCTTGAAAGCAATAGCGAGAGCCTGGACCGAAAAAATCTTCCGAATACCGCCCAGCAGCATGGGGGACATGGGTCCCATCATGGGCGACGCCATCTCCTGTTTGGGCTTGGCAAGTCGTGCCAGAGCTGAGGGGTTCTAAGGCCTTTCGGGGGCTTGCGGTTTAGGGCTTCGGGTTCAGGAGCTTACAGAGTCGGCACACAGCCGCGTTCACAGTCATTTCAACCCTTCCCCAGTTGGGTCAGCATGGTCCCTGCCCCGGGGTGCTGAAAGGCGTCGCAGCCCCTGCGACCCCGTGAGCTCTGAACTCCGGCCGACCCCTGTAAGCTCCCAAGCACTTGCAGGGTTTGGGATGTGGGTTTAGCCCCAAAACCCGACATCCGTGAGCGCTGAAGCTTGTAGGCTAAAGCATGGTGTGCTCCTAGGCTTGTCCTAAACCCCACGCTATCCCGAACCCTAAACCTATCTACCCTAAGCCTAAACCAGCCTAAACCTTTAGACCAAAGTGAGGTTCCGGTTTTAGCATGTGGGCTTTAGGGAAAGGGCTTAGGCTTCTAGGGGCTTCAAAGCCCTACCCCCTTAAGCCTTATAAACCCTAACACGTCAGCCAAAGGGAGAGCCTGGCAGTCGCAGCTTCCTTTTTTTGGCATCCTACGATTTTGGGGGTGGCGATGATTTCGGGACCGTTCTGTTGTCGGTGTGAAACTGGGCTGTGGTTGAGCACTCCCGCCCTGGCCAAAGCGGGCGACGCCGTAGGGGTTAGGGTTTAGGTCTAACATTTCGGGTTTAAGCCTTTTTTGTGCAATCTCCCTGAGAACTGGTAGCATGCTAAACCCTACTAGACCTGAGAGCTGCAATTTTTGGAGGTTCAGGGTGTCAGGAGGACTCAAACACAGGGTGCATGTCCACAAGTGGGACATTGTCTGCGAATTGGAGACCACTACGAATGCCCCCGATGCAGTTTTGCATGCAAAGGCTCTACTTAAACAACAACGTCATTGGTATCGTGACCAAGGCTAATCGGCGAGCGTCGCCTCGAGCATCTGCCCGTTGCCTGAGGGATGAAGCCGGCATTCCAAATCCCCACAGGCGGAGTCGGGTTTAGGGTTTTGGGTTTGAATGGCGGAACCGACTTCAAGAGGGCTGAGCAGGTGGACTGCACCCCTGACCTGGGACCGTCAGGCCTTACTGCAGCCCTAAACCCTACCAACCCTTGGGTTTAGGGTATAGGGCCTTCGGGTTCAGAGGTTACGTCCTAACCAGTGCAAAGCCCTAAAGCCCCCTTAGGGTTTCGGGCTTGCAGGTAAGCCTGAACCCCAAACACCTTGCAGGTCCTTTTTTTTGGGGGGGAGGGGGGGGCACGCCAAGCCAGAAGTGACCGGGCATAGGGCTAGCCCTAGAACCACCAGACCTTAATCCCTCAACCTTAAACCCTCACCCCCTAAAGCCATACACTAGACCCAACCCTTAAATCTAGCCCTTCAAAACCCCAAACCTTAAACCCCAAACCCTAAACCCTGACCTTAAACCCTGAACCCTTGTCGCTAGACCTTAAACCCTGAGCCCTTAACGCACCCTAAACCCTAACCCTAAACCCTAAACCCTAAACCCTAAACCCTAAACCCTAAACCCTAAACCCTATAAACCCTAAACCCTAGACCCTATAAACCCTAAAACCCTAAACCCTAAACCGAAAGCCGGTCTTGGGCCGCGCGCTGCACGCGTTGGGCACGAGCGTGTCGGGCAACCTAAGAGCCAACTCCGGCCTGACAGGATGCCATAGGGTTCAGGGTTTAATTATGGTTCAGGGTTTAGGGTTTAGGGTTTAGGGTTTAGGGTTTAGGGTTTAGGGTTTAGGGTTTAGGGTTTAGGGTTCAGGGTTTAGGCTTTTGGGTTTAGGGTTTTGGGTTCAGGGTCTAGAGTTTAGGGCCTAGGGTAGTTTCGGGTTCAGGGCATAGGGCAGTTTAGGGTTCAGGGTCTAACACGACGCTCGAAGCCCGGGCCGAGCCAAGCCGAGCCCACCGAGCCAAGACGAGCCAAAGCCAAGCCAAGCCACACCCTTGCAAGAGGACTCGGCCGAGCCGCGCCTTTGCAACAAGAAAACAAGGGGCAACCTAAACTCATCAACCCGAAGCCTGAAAGTTGCCCAGTTGTGGGTCTTGGGGGCTTGTGGGACAAGGGTTTAGAATCTATATGGGTCTGTAAGTCAGGGTTTGAGTGAAGTACCTTGGAGCGAACACAGCACGGCGAACGTGGGGACAGCACTCGAAACTGATCAGTCCTACCTGACAGAACCGCGGACCCCGAACACTTTCTGTGGACTGCCCAAGTAACCTACAAGCGCTGCTAACAACATCATGACTCTGCCAAGAAAAAGTCTTCTGGGTTCTTTAGGGTTTAGGGTTTTGGGTTTAGGGTTTAGGTTTCAAAATTACTACCCTCCTGCCGGCCTTTGCCCCAGATGCCCATGAGCCGGTCTTTGAGCGTGAGCGTTGGTACCGGAGCGTTTCGCAGCCTATCGGCCTCTTCGATTTCACCTGAAAGGGTTTAGGGCTTGGGTTTAGGGGGTTTCGGGTTTTAGGGTTTAGGGTTTAGGGTTTAGGGTTTAATGTTCACTTGCAACGAATAAGCGCCCCCTTCCCCCCCCCCTCCACCTTGATAGATTCAACCTCTCCGGCAGGGGGCCGAGAAATTTGACTGCAGAACGATTGGGTTTTGAAGGAGGCTGTAGTCTTGTTTGGGAAGGGGGGAGGGGCTGTTTCTTAAAGGGCTGGCCTCTTTCTAGCAGGAAACCCTGAAACCAGATCCGGTTCCTCGAGATTGGGTTTTCAATTGAGCTGGGTGTTTATTGAGTTCCGGGTCTAGTACTTTCTTAAATTGTGCCGGGGGAGGGGGGGGGGGGTTCTAAATGCCAAGTCCATATTAGTGGGGGTGGGGGTGGGCGGGGGAGGGACCGTGTGCTGGAGCTTAGGGCTGCAAGAGGATTGGCTCTGTAGGACTCGGCTTGGAACTTCCGGGGTTTGAACGCTGTACAGCGCTGTACAGGTGGAGTACCTTGGACCCTTAGGTTGGAACCCTTGGGCCTGGGTGCTCTAAGGGAATAGAGGGGCCATGTTAGGAGTAGATGAAGGGAACCTCTTAGGGGTACTGCCCTAGGGTTACGAGTCTTAATCCCTTGAGCAGGGAATGGCCTCGGAAGCATGCACGAAAAGGCATGCCCTAACAAAGCCCGTCTCGTCCTGAGGGCCCCAAAAACCCAGACAACCTCCCAAACAAAACAACAGATCCTACACATACAGGCCCACCCAACCCAAAAAGGCCAAAACAAAACTTATGCGTGAACACTCGTTCGAAGTCACCACCTGAACAACAAAAAACCTCAAGCCCTTAAACCCCAACCCCCAAAACCCTAAGCTAGCAACAAAAAAAAGGGCCCAGGCCCAAGCCCCCCCCCCCTAAACCCCAAACCCTATAAACCCAACCCTATAAACCCTATAAACCCCATAAACCCTATAAACCCTATAAACCCTATAAACCCTATAAACCCCATAAACCCGATAAACCCCATATACAAACCCTATAAGCCCTATAAACCCCAAACCCCAACCCCTAAACCCTAAACCCTAAACCCTAAACCCCTTTTTCTGGGGCCGTGGCCAGCCCGGCGAAGCAAACTGTCCCTGCCGTCCATATCGCCAAGCCTCTGGTCTTAGGGTTCAGGGTTTAGGGTTTAGGGTTGGGGAGTGTCGGGCTCAGGACTTTTGAGGTTTTAGGGTTTAGGGTCTTAAGGCTTCAAGGGTTTAGGGCACAGGGTTTCAGGCTTCAGGCATTTAAGGAGGGGGAGTTGGGGAGGGCTTTTGGGGGAGAGGTTTGCGGTTTCTGTCCTGGGGCCCTTTTGGGACTCAGGGTTTAGGACTCTTTGGGCCGAAGGTATGATGTGTGCAGGGTTAGGGTTGAGGGGCTTTCGGGGTTTTAGAGTTCTAGGGTGTTTTGATGTAGGGCTTTAGAGGTTTAGGGTTATAGGGGTCAACGGTTTTCGGGTTCTAGGGTAGGGTTTCAGGGTTTTAGGGTGTTCGGTTTTTTGGTGTTTTAGGGTCCGGTTTGGGCAAACGGACCCTGCCCGAATTAAACTCTAAATCCCATGGGGGCTACGGGCTTAGGGGGCAGAGAGCAGTCAAAGCCAACCAAGCCCCCGTCTTCTCGCAAGTGTGGGCAATCTCCACGAGGTAGACTGCAACATTGCGGTGCTGATGCCTCGCAAGCTTCGGTTTGGGGCTTCAAGGTTAGGTCTTCTAACCCCAAACCCTAAACCCTGAACCCTCAACTCAAAACCCCAGACCGGGAGTAGTGCTTTCGGAAACCGATGGGGCGTGCAGATCTGCTGCGACATGTGAGCATACGAGCCCGTAGCCTCCAAGGTGAAGACTTTCCCCTTATGCTAACAGTCCTACAACGGGATTATCATAAGGGGGTACTATAATCCCTACTAACTAGGCTGCCCAGGAACCTAGGCTTAAAAAGGGTGCCCTTTTGTGCTTAAAGGGGCTTATAAGGGAACCTAAGCCCCCCAAAAAGGGAATAAGGGGACTACTGGGCATCCTAGTTAAGGACTGCTAGTATACGGTGGAACATCCCAAGAGAGCCTGCAGATCAACCACTACGATCTCCTCAGCGCCGTGTGAAAGATTGCAGCAGCAAACCCTAAACCCTAAACCCTAAACCCTAAACCCTAAACCCTAAACCCTAAACCCTAAACCCTAAACCCTAAACCCTAAACCCTAAACCCTAAACCCTAAACCCTAAACCCTAAACCCTAAACCCTAAACCCTAAACCCTAAACCCTAAACCCTAAACCCTAGACAGGCCTCAGAAATGTCACAGAGGTAAATTGACTTCGACAGCAAAAGGCACAAGGGTTGTATCATTGGGACAATTGCTCCCACGCACTTGCTTCTGAAAAGGTGTAGGGAGGAATCATCAGGATGTCGAGTATGGACAATCACGTTACCGCGGCCTCCCCCATCTGCGTCCCAAGGACCTCCCTCAACCCTAAAACCCTACCTCTCTACAACCCTCTAAACCCTAAACGCTGATGCAAACCCTACCTCCCCACAAACCCTAAACCCTAAACCCTAAGCCCTAAGCCCTAAGCCCTAAGCCCTAAACCCTAAACCCTAAACCCTAAACCCTAAACCCTACACCCTAGGTCAAGGGCCAGACCCAAACTTGATCTCCATGATCTTGACAGACCGCTCCAGGAGGGTCTCGGATGCTTGGAGCTCTGGGATGATGCTTTGAACACGTGTAGGGGTTTGGGGTTTGGGGTTTGGGGTTTAGGGTTTAGGGTTAGGGTTTAGGGTTTGGGGTTTAGGGTTTAGGGTTTGGGGTTTGGGGTTTAGGGTTGGGGGCTTTGGGGTTTGGGGCTAAGCAGTGTAGATGTTCAGGCTTCCTAGGGCTCTAGAGACTTTGCATTTTCGGATTTAGGGGTTTGAGGGTTTGATGGAGATCAGGGGCCATTATGGCTTTAGGGCTGCAGGGTAAGGTTAAGTTTATACCCCCAAATGAGGGAAGGGCTAAGGGTTTGGTACTGTTAAGGTCACAAACCTACACCCCTAACCCCTAAACCCTCAGTTGGTCCGTTCTGAGCTTTCTCTCTGCGGAAGAGGAGTAGGAGCAGGAGGACCAACCAGGTTTGAAGCCCTGAGCCTTGAAATCCTAAGACGTGTAGGAAAGCAAAACCTGCAAACCCTTGGACCCCTGAACAGTCAAAGCCCTACACCCCTAAACCTTATACTGGTTGTGTGGGTCCTGCTCTTAGTAGGGAACTTGGGAATGCGAAGAATCCCTACGCAATCCCCTAGAGGGTAAACTAGGAAGCCTGCGTGTTTGTCTCACACCTACTTAATTTTAGGGTTCAGGGCGGTTGTCGATACAACACGGCCTTTTATACGATTGGCACGGCCCAAGCCCCAAAACTCAAAACCCTAAACTACAACACCGAAGGTGTCGGCTGTGTAAAGGTGGATCATCTCAGACCCTTAAGCCCCTTTCAAGCGCAAATGGTTTTGGGTTCCAGTGGGTTAAACGGGTCCTTTAGCGGAACCTTAAGATAATTGTATGTAGGAAGGTAGTTATCTCTGTCGGTCGATTATGTCTATACACGCACATGTCTATAAGCATAAATATAAATATACATATAAATATAAATATACATATATACATCTACGTGTATATGTATCTATGTGCGTAAATATGCAACTTTGAAAGCCATATTCGGCATAGAGTTAAGTCCTATGTTGCGTGAAGTATGTGTATGCACATGCATATGCATAGGCATATGTATAGGTATATAGACCATATTTATATGTAATACACACATAAATACGTTTATGTACGATTCCGCAGCCCTTGCTTTGCCCCGCCTTCTTTCGCTGAAACTCACCAAGATCTCCACAGGTTTGGGCCAGAGCCTTAGGCTTCAAGGAGCTTAGGGAGCCTAAGCCCTAAGCCCTAAACCCCTCAACCCTATAAACCCTAAACCCCTAACCCTAAACCCTAAACCCCTAACCCTAAACCCTGAACCACGAAACCCCTAAACCCGAGGATAAAGGGATGGTGTTTTGTTGGTGCTTGAGGGCTCAGGAGTTCTTGAGGCCGGCCCCGAAAACATCCGCCTCACTGGCCCCCTGCTGACCTTCGGAAAACGAGGTCGCATTTATTTGGGCTAGCGGCTAGGGCCGCAAAACTCTACCACAACGCCCTCCACCGGGGTGTAGAACCCTAAACCCTAAACCCTATCCCTAAACCCTAAGCCCTAAACCATATAAACCTTAAGGTGTAGAGGTCCTAGGAATTTGGGCCCCTGGAGTTCAACCTGTTTTGGGGTTTAGAGTCTAGAGCTCCAGGCTCCAGAAATTTCCGGGGCTTAGGGCTTTAAGGCTTTGCAGGAATCAGGGTTTAAGGTTTCATGGTTGAGGGTTTAGGGTGAAAGGGTTTCGGGTTTAGGGTTTAGGGTTTGGGGTTTCGGGGTTTAGGGTCCTCAGCCCTAAGCCCTGGTGCAGGGCCCCCGCTGCCAGGATCACGCCCACGTTGTAGTGGGTATAACCTTCGCAGGCTTGAAGACTTGCAGCCCTCAGCTATAAGTCGCAAACCCTACAGTAAAACTCGCATTCCCAAAGCCCGAATCCCTCCCCCTCCCACCCCCCGTTCCCCCCTCACCCTCTCCCCCTCTCGCTCTTTCTGTCTTCTTGGGGCATGAGAGGGAGACCCCGCGCAGTCTGCGAGCTCCCGTTTCTTTCTGTGTTTTTTTGTTCTCTCTCTCTCTCTCTCCCTCTCTCTCTCTTTCCCTCTCTCTCTGTCTCTCTCCCTCTCCCTCCCTGTCTCTCACTCTCTCTCCCTCTCTCTGTCTCTCTCTCTCACTCTCTCTCTCTCTCTCTCTCTACATCCTTCTTTCTTTAAGGAGCTTAAACCCTAAACCCTAAACCCTAAACGGTTTGGGGGTTCAAGGCTTAGGGCTTTTGGACGGATGGGCGGTCGCGGTGGCCATCTAGACAACCCCAACCCTGACGTCCAACACCCAAACAACCCTATCAGGGTATAGGGTTTAGGGTTTAGGGTTTTAGGGGTTATAGGGTTTACAGGGTTTACAGGGTTTAGGGTTTAGGAAGCCCGCACCAAGCCCTGAATCGGAACCGTAAGATCACATGAAGCGCCCGAGGCGAGGGCCAAAGCTCCGTTCCATGATGCCCACGGACTTCTCCAAGAGTTCCTCGAAGAGTCGCCGCGGGAAGGAGGGTTTAGTTCAGTGTTTTGGGTTCAGGGTTTCGGGTTTAGGGTTGCTTGAGGGTTGCACGAGGGCTGCGCTTACGAGTTTTACCATGGAATTAGGATTCAGGTTTTAGCATTCAGAAATTAGGGAACTAGCTATATCTCCCTTGAGAACCCAGGGATTCTAGAGGACGCCGAACTCGCGAATTCCGGACTAAGAACCCCTCAGTTGAGGGCTTCAGTGCGTTTGAGGCCTGTAATAGAATCATGGGGGGGGGGGGGGGCTTTATGAATTTTAAGAACTAAACCCAATGCACCCTGGAGACCTTAGGTACCTCAAGAGGGTTTAGGGCCTTTAAGGGCCGCGGTGCTTTCAACGGGTGTTCTATCGAAGCCCTAAACCTTAAACCCAGAGCCCAAAACCTGAACATGAAACCCTGCACCTTAAAAACTCTAGCTAATCTCCATGCGCTGAAACCTGCAACCTCGACCCACAACCCTCAACGCTTACTGAAATGTGAATCCTAAAGTAGTTTTTTGAACCCTGAACCCTGCTAACCATTACGGGCTGACCCCTGAACCCTGCCCCTGCAAACCCTGCAAACCCCCACTTGCGCCTTCTTTCGGTGGAAGTCCTTCATGCGGTCGTAGACCATGCTTAGCCCAGTCAGCGAACTAAGCCTGCGGAGCCAAGGCATTCAAAAGGTCTTGAGAAGGGTCTAGGTTTAGAGTTTTGGGGGTTTAGGGTTTTAGGGTTTGAGGGTTTAGGGTTTTAGGGGTCTAGGGTTTTAGGGTTCAGGGCTTTTTCGGGTTCATGGCCTTGAGCAACTTAGGATGTGAGGGGTGTAAGTCCTGAGAGGTTTGGGGGGTTTGAGGCCTTTACGGAAAAAGCGTCGGAGACGGGCGTTAAAGGGATATGATATTGACGGGTTGGGGTATTGAGGGTTCAAGTATGGGGGGGGGGGTTTAGCGTATGGAGAGGCTAAGAGCATTGAGGGGTTTAGGGAGTTTAGGGTTTATAGGGTGCGAGGGTGGGAGAACTGTAGCTTTGGCGCTTCAGATACTGAACAGACTCCTGTTTTGCTTGTCTGCGCATCAGCCCAGTCGGAGAGCTTCACTTGAGTTCTACTTTGCATGAGATCTCGAGCTCCCACCACAACCCCAAACCAAAATCGGCTTACAACAAAGAAGACTAACAACCCTAAACCCTTTAAAGCCCCCAAGCACCCTGGCCCTAAACCTTGAACCCAAAACCTTTAACCCCGCCACTTAAGTTTAACCAAGTACAGCCTCTTGAAGCCAAAACCCCTGAAGCCCCTAAACCCCAAATCCCCCTAAACCCTAAACCCTAAACCCTAAGCCCCCAAACCCTTCAAATGGCCCCCTTACGAGGCCCGCGCAGCTCCCAGTGATCGGCACCGAAGTGCCTTTCCTGGAGGTGCTTGGAATATTAGGGTTTGCAGTTTAGGGTTTAGGGTTGAAGGGTTAAGGGTTTAGGGTTCAGGGTTTATATTGCTTGAGGGATTAAGGGGCTTTGTCAGGTAATGGTGCTTTTGAAGGGCGTCTTTAAGGGATTTCTGAGTCGGGAAGGGTTTAGGGTGCAGTGTAGGGTTTAGGGGTTTAGGGACTTAAGGGTTTAGGTTTGGTGAGTTTAGGGTTGAGGGGTCTAGGGGTGTAGGGGTTGAGGGGTTTGGGGGTCTAGGGGTTTAGGGTTTAGGGGTTTAGGGGTTTAGGGGTTTAGGGGTTTAGGGGTTTAGGGGTTTAGGGGTTTGGGAACCCTCAAACCCTAAACCCGTTGCAAAGCTTCGGCTTCATCATCATCGCGTGTCTGGGAGCTGTGGTGGGGTTTGAATTCGGGTTTATGGTTTAGGGTGTAGGGCTTAGGGTTTAGGGCTTTAATATGTGGGTGCTTCCGACAAAAAGGGTGATGATGGTGGGTTAGGATTTAGAGCACCCGTTTCGGGGCTGCCTTCCCAAAGATGATCGTGTTTTTGTTTTTGTGCAGGGTAGAGTAGAGGTACCCCCCTATTTGCGAAAAGTATCCACATGCTTCAGTTAGAGGTTAGGGGAAAAAGGGCTTGGAGTCGAGGGAATACAAGGTTTAAGGTTTTCAGGTTTAGGGTTTAGGGGTTTAGAGTTTAGGGGTTTAGGGTTTCCAGGGTTACCGCTTAGAGCTGAGAGTTTGGGGCGAAGTGCAGATTTGATATGGCCAGTTCTCTAAATGGTGTTCCCTGCTGAGGGCAGCATGAGCCTGTGATGGGGGCAGAGTGCCCTCTATGTTGGCTAAGAAAGCACTTACGTTTGGCCCCCCCCCCCCCAAGGTTTCCGAGGGCGGGGCCTGGATGCGAAGCGCCTTTTCCAGGAGCTCCTTCTGGTGGTCTACATTGCCCAGGTCCCCGTAGGCATTGCCCAGGCTGACCTGAAGGTGAGAAAGGTTTAGGGTTTAGGGTTTAGGGTTTAGGGTTTAGGGTTTAGGGTCATCTTGAACTCCCAGGTACACTGCGCACAGGACGCACAGGCATCTACCTACACGCGGGAAAAAGCAGGAGCATCGCATGTTGTCATGCCTTGGAAGGAAGTGAATGACCTCTTACAGGGTCTCACAATCCCGTATATGGCTTCGAGGGTTCCCTAATCCCGAAAGCCCAAAAAACCCCGAAACCCTATATAAACCCTAAATACGCAAAGCCGAATCCTGGAAAATGAAGCCCTGGGTAAAGCCTGAGCCCAAACCGGGGCAGGGCCCTTGAGGGGGGAAGGGGGGGGGTTATCCGCGCGCTGACGCCCAAATTTCATCTCCGGTGCTAAGAGACGTGTTAAGGACCAGCACCCAGCCTCCGCACAAGCAAGATATGAACCAATGTACTGTTACCGTCCAGGGGGTCTCATTATCCAAGTTAAAACCCTATCCCTGAACCCTACACGTTCCCCCTTATACTAACAGTCCTTAACAAGAATTGTAAGAGGGTGTTACTAGAATCCATATGAAGGACTAGTAGTATAAGGGGGAACATCCCAACCTACACCCTAAGAGGTACCCAGGTGGCGAAAAACCCATTCGCTGGGTCTTCGGCCAAAGCTTTGGCCACCTCCGCGTGCTCAGCTCCAAACTCGCGCTGCCTTGCAAAATCAGGGGTTTCCTAAACCCTAGAGTCTTTGCTGAGGGCTCGCGACCAACACTTGAGAGCCCGAAGCCGTCCGAGCTCCGCGAGGCGACGTGAAACCACGGAACGTGCAGCCCAGGTAAAGCTGGGGCTACTGGACGCTCTAAGGCAAGGTAAGGCCCACACTGGCCGTCAAGGCGGTCGAGCCATCAGTGTCAAAGGTAAAGACCCGCAACCCACGACAATTTGCCGGGGGGCAACTGCCCCCCCCCCCCTCTCGAAGGATTTTGGGCTTCTCCCAGACCATTTCTGAGCCTTCTGGGCTTCTCCCGGACCATTTCTCAGCCTTTTTAGGCTTCTCCCAAATCATTTCTGAGCCTTTGTAAGCTTTGCCCAGACCATTTCCGAGCCTTTTTGGGCTTCTCCCGAATCCAATATGTGAGACAAAGAAGCACGCCCGATTTTGATGAAGGGCTGCCCCCGCGACCTTTTCACAGCCTAGTTTTGGTGGAGGGAGCGCTGCCAACACTCCATCTCTTTGCAGCCCTGCTCCCACGAGGCTCAGATCGGGACAGTGCTGAAACAGCGTGCGCAGTGGTACGGCATGCCCCGGCTGGAAAAAACAAAACCAGACTTTAGGAACTAAACCCTAAATGAATATGCAGGATGGCTTGAGGTGAGGCCCCGGAGCCCAGCGAGCAACCCAGAACGTAACACACCCTAAACCCTAAACCCTAAACCCTAAACCCTAAACCCTAAACCCTAAACCCTAAACCCTAAACCCCTTAGGAATTTCCGACGACGCACGAAGAATGAAGGATAGAGGGCTGAGTTCGGGCCCAGGGTCTTTCCGCGATTGCCCCTGCCCATGTCTAGCTTGTGTGCCCCCGTTCATGGTTTGGGGGCTTCGGGTTGGGGGTGTCAGGAACTCCTTTTCAAGAACTCCGAACCCCAAAAAACAAAACCCAAAAGCTAGGTAGAAACGAACCGACCATATTCGTAAACCCGGAGCCAAGCCCTCCCCCTACCCCACAAGAAAATGAAAATATATAATTCCAAACCCTACAAGCCCTCTACACCCCATAAGCCCCAAACCCTAAAGACCCCTAGACCCTATGAACCGGAAACCCTAAACCCTAAACCCTAAACCCTAAACCCTAAACCCTAAACCCTAAACCCTAAACCCTAAAGCCTAAACCCTAAACCCTAAACCCTATCCCCACCCAGCCAAGCTCCCGGCTTGATCTTCAACGCGCGCTCGAGGAGGTCACGCTTGGCCTTGACGTCGCCGAGACAACCGTAGACATTGCCTGGCTTAGGGGGGTTTAGGGGGAGTTGAGGGGCATCATAAGGGTTGAGGGAGGACTTTGGGCGTTTAGGGTTTAGGGTTTAGGGTTTGGGGTTTAGGGTTTAGGGTTTAGGGCCTGGCTTGGGGGCTTTGGGGTGTTTAGGGGCTGAGGGGATGAGGACTATACTTTAGGGAGTGTAGGGGCATGAGGGTTGAGGATTTTGGGGGTTTAGGTCTTGTGCATTTAGATGTAAGGGTTTAAGGGTACTGGGTTCGCAGGAATAAGTGGTTTTGGGGTAGAAGGTTTTTGTTTTTTCTGTGTTTCTTTATTCTTTTTCGTTTTTTTTTTTTTTTTTTGGGGGGGGGGGGGGGGAGGGTTGGGGGTGTAGTTTAGGGGTCGGGTATTTCGCGGGGGGTGGGGGGGGGATTGGGGGGTTTGGGGTTGTCTCTTCCCTGAACGTGTATGCTGAAACCAAAAACCCTCTAAACTCCAAAGACCCCAAACTCTAGAACCCCAAACACGATGCCCTGAACCCCATCTGTCCCCCACAAACCCCAAAGACAACCCAAAACCCCAAACTGAACCTGAGGAACCGCCCTAAGTCCCCAAACCTCTAAACTCAACCCTGAAACGCTTACCGCCAAACTCAACCCTGAAGCCCGGAACGCCCACAACCCTTCAACCGTAAACACATAAACCCTCCAGTCCCGAATACACGTACCCTAAACCCTTCAGCGGGCCAGGCACACCCAGGTTCAGCAACGTGTTTGCAACGGCCCGATGGTCCCGGCCTAGGGAGCACTGGCTGACCGCCGATTGGGGGGGGAGGGTGGGGGGGAGGGGGAGGGGGGGGGGGGGGGGGGGGGGGGGGCGGGGGGGGGGGGGGGGGGGGGGGGGGGGGGGGGGGGGCGGGAGGGGGGGGGGGGGGGGGGGGGGGGGGGCGGGGGGGGGGGGGGGGGGGGGGGGGGGGGGGGGGGGGGGGGGGGGGGGGGGGGGGGGGGGGGGGGGGGGGGGGGGGGGGGGCGTTTAAGGGTTCAAGGTTTGGGGCTTCAGGTCCTCTGGCGGACTTGAGTATAGCACAACTCGCTCGAGTCTTGCAGCAGAGCTCACAGGTGAGCTCGTGCGTTCAGCTTCAAGAAGCCTGACTGCCCTAGACCCTAACCACCCGCAGCTTGTTCCGTCATGAGTCTCAATCCGGCACGCACGAGGAATCCAGAAGACTGCTGAAACAATGGCAACGACATGACCCACCACCATCACCATCCCAGTCACAGGCACAACGACACTAGCAACAAGCAGAAGCCCCATCAGAGTCAGAAGAACAATGCGGGTGCCTAAATGAAAAGAGCAACAGAATAAACACACAAATGCTGATGATGATGATGATGATGATGACGACGACAACGACGATGATATGACGACGGCGATGACGACGATGATGATAGCAATAGCAACGACAATGGCCAAAGCAAAAGCAATAAACACAATACAAGTAATATCAGTAGGCATACTAATAGCAGTGAAAGCAGCAGTTTCCTTACAGCAACTTATGATCGCAATGACAGCAAGAAGAGTGCTGCCTAAATGGTAAGTTCAGATGGGTAGAAGCCGCGATGATAGCAATGACAACACAAGAATAGCAATACTCAATGGGAACTTCTTAGTAGAAACAAAAACAGAATCTCCGGGCTGAGGCTTCGTCCGTACTCTTGCTCGTTGATCTTCAGCGCTCGCTCCAGCAGGTCGCGCTGGGGCAGTTCGTAGGTGTTTTTGGTGCGGTCTGGGGTTTAGGGTTTAGGGTTTAGGGTTTAGGGTTTAGGGTTTAGGGTTTAGCGTTTAGGGTTTAGGGTTTAGGGTTTAGGGTTTAGGGAACCCTAAACCCTTAAACCCTAAACCCTAAACCCTACACCCCTAAACCCAAAACCCTAAACCCTAAACCCAAAACCCTAAACCCTAAACCCCAGCCCTTTTTGTGCATACATGACCCCGAAAAAACCAGACCTGGCCTGACGCTTGACGTCTCCAAGGGCGCCGTAGGCCAAACTGAGGTTCACCAAGCTGGCTGAGACCTGGAGGGTTTCGTTCAGGGTTTAGGGTTTAGGGTTTAGGGTTTACAGGGTCTAGGGTTTAGGGCTGAGGGTCTGGAGGGTGCCAGGTTTTGTTGAGGGTCTGAGAGTTCAGGGCTTAGGGCCTGGGAGCCTTTGGGCTTACTACCCTAAACCCTAAACCCTAAGCCCTAAGCCCTAAGCCCTAAACCCTAAACCCCAAACCCCAAACCCTAAACCCTAAACCCTACACCCTCAACTGCTGTCGGGGATGGGGCCTTAGGGGAGGTCTAGGGCTTCGAGTTCTAGAGCTCTTGGGGATCAAGGCCACGTCCAGGAAACTTAAGCCCCGGAGCCCTAAGCCAGAGACCCCAAACCGTTTAAACCCTAAGCCCTAAGCCCTAAGCCCTAGACCCCAGACCCTAAACCCTAAACCCTAAACCCTAAAACCTAAACCCTAAACCCTAAACCCTCCTCCCCCCCGGCACCTTGTGGCTGTTGAATCCGAACTCCGACTCCATGATGCGCAGCGCCCTCTCCAAGATGTCGCGCTGCGTCTCATGTTCGCCAAGCCTTTTTGTTGGTCCCAGGCCGGTTTAGGGTTTGGGGTTTAGGGTTTAGGGTTTAGGATTTAGGGTTTAGGGTTTGGGGCTTGGGCTTGGGGTTTGGGGTTCTTCGTATTGTAGGGGCATGGAACTGCACATAAGGATGTCGATATCCTGAACCAAAAACCCTGAATGACATAAGAGCACCAAGGGCTGCGGAAGGACGTTGCAAGGATACATAGGGGGAAGCGACACCCCTAAACCCTAAACCCAAAACCCGAAACCCCTAAACCCCTAAACCCCTAAACCTCTAAACCCCTAAACCCCTAAACCCCTAAACCCCTAAACCCCTAAACCCCTAAACCCTAAACCCCTAATCCCTAAACCCTGATAGGCCATGAGCTCCCCAAAAGGTGGCGCCTTCCGTAGACACTGCCAAGGTTGACCAGCGTGGTGGCGACTACGTGGTGATTGGGGCCTGCACCAAAATCGCCAGTTTAGGGGCTCAGGGTTGAGGGTTTAGGGCAGGGTTCAGGGGTTTAGGGAAGGGTGGTTTAGGGGTCTGGGGGTTTAGGCCCTAAGCTTTACATCCAGCCTAAACCCAGTGGCCCTGAGAGGACACACGTGAGCCCTGAGCCCTAAGACCCCGAAACCTGAAACCCTAAACCCAGCCCTAAGACCCCTGAGCCTGAAACCCTAAACCCTAAACCCTACACCCTAGGCGCTGGCTCTTAGGGTGTAGTTTCCTTAGGGTCCACCCTAGCCCAGCCCAAAGTGCGGCACTCTTTTGAGTGCCCACGGTCGCGGTCTTCATCGTGAACCTTGTGTACTACGACCTCGCGCACTTCCAGGTCCGGGGACACTTAGCTGCTGATTTCTAAGCCTCTGTGCCACCCACGCATTGCTGCCCATTTGACGGCCTCTGCGGATTTTCATTTTGGTTGTGCATGCGCTTTTTTTGGTACGTGGTAATCCTCTTCGCTTGTTTGGGAGAGGATAGATACGCACAAGACGGCCAGCAGGATAGAACCCAGCTGGCACCGAAGAGCCCGGAGGCTGCGTACACGTGCCCGTACAGTCTTGCGGACAATTCCACTACTGGCTCGCAGCAAAGAGACAGTACAGCGTGCAATTTCCAGGCTGCAACAGCACCACAGCAAGCCCGAGATTGCTTTCCGCACTCAGAAGCAACTAGCCCTGGGCAACATGGAGGCCAAGTCTTGGAGGTGCAGTACGTGCCACCAACAGAACAAGTTGTCACAAAACTATTGTGGCAAGTGCGGACATCACTGGCAGGAGGCCATTGGGGCCACGGCCAGTTATTGGACGCCTCAGACACCCGCCCCGTGGAGAGGAGACAGAGTAGACAACACGGGACGACACGGAGCTTCCCCGCGGCGCAGGGCACCGAAGTCACCCCGGCGCCCAGGCAAAGGAGCTGGACAGCACGTGACAGAGTCGGTTGCGGGGCCGGCAAAAGGCAAGAGCAAGATGACAGGAAAGGGTGCGGTCGAGGAAGCCAAGCAGCCACCGTCACTTGCAGCACTGCCCGAGCCGCCAACGACGACCATAGCAGTGCCGCCAAGAAGCGGGCTACCAGCAACACCGCCAACCAGCAGTACGACCTCGGAGCGCAAGCTGTTGGAGGCACTGGTGGCGCACATGGGCCCCACCACGGAGCTACCGCCAGAGTTGGCTCAGCAGTTAGAGCACTACCGTGTCGAAGACGAGAAAGCGCAGAGCCGCGAGCTACACAGAATCGTGGCCAGGCAAGCAGAAGCGAAGCGGGAGCTTGGCAAACTGCGCACAGAAAGAGCCACCTTCTGTACAGGATGGAACCAGTACATACAGGACCTTCTGGGGTTGGTGGCGCAACAGACGGAAGAACGTGCACAAGCCCTACAGGCCTACGACGCTGCCGAAGAGAAATGGACGCAACGCTTTGTGGAAACTTCGAAGCAGCTTGCCAGACTTGCTGCCAACAAGGCAGCGCCGGATGGTGTGATAGACCTCGAAACCGAAGAGGACGCCATGGAAGTATCAGAAGCAGCTGTGGCAGATGCAGCAGAAGAGGAATCCAAACGCATTGCCGCCAGGGAGGCGCGGCAAACGGCGCTGGAGAAGCAACAAGCGACTCTGGTGCAGGCCCTTCATGCTGCCAAGGAAATTACAGCTGGCGCGGAAAGGGAAAGGACCCCCCGACGACGAGGACACGAAGGCAAGGAGCCCGAGATGAGCAAGGGCGCCGAGGATGCCAAGTCAGTCCCCAGCTAAGCCTGCGGCCGAGCCGCAAGGGACCCCGCAGGCATGCTCCTCCAGATGGTGGGAAATCATCTGTTGAGTACGAGAAGCTGAGACGCGTGGCCACTCCACGGCACTCAGTTTGTGACGAGGACAACTATGTGCACCCTGCGAGAGCAGAGACCATAGCTTTGGTCCTCTCCTACCAGGTCAAGTTCCAGGACATTGGTTTTGACTTGACAGAATTTGCAGACCCCAGGTGTCCCGAGGAAGACGCCGTTGCGGGCAGTGCAGAATGCAGTCCAGTGAACCGGAGCTCGGTGCATCCGGAGGCAACGGAGATCGCCTGTAGATCCTTTCATGATGGGGCCTGTGTTGATCCGGGATTGATCTTCGTTGAAATCGGATGCCAGGGGACGAACGGTTTGCCGGGTCATGATGTTGGAGTTTACCAGAAGCAGCATCACTTCCCTCTTCAAGTCCTTTTTGTTGAACAGGATGCTAGCCGCGTGTATATAGAGGAGGATGATTGTACAGTTTTTGACTGTGTGGATAAGGGGTCTCCTCCAACTATCCCAAACCTGAAGGCTTTGGAAAACAAACACCGTAGGCAGGTTAACAGGGTTGTTAAGGAGTGGGACTCCATTGCACAGCGTGAAAACGGCCTATCCGTCGAGGACGGTGCTCTGCCAAACCTCGGGTTAGGTGACGTTCCCTTCGCCGTTCCATGCCTTCCATGTGCACAGCAGAACGGCCAACAGCTGGATGCGCCCAAGCCTCCAGGCCCCCATCCCGCCAACTGCTCGGCAGGACAACTCAGCACTGCCCATCGACTCAGCATGCGTCAGGTGCTCAAGGACCCAGACCCCCATCCGGCCAGCCGGTCGGCAGGACTCCGGGTGCATCAACTCAGCACGCGTCAGGCTGCAGGTCAGGTGCCCAAAGTCCCAGACCCTAATCAGGTGCATAAACTCAGCACGCGCCAGGCTGCAAGTCAGGTGCAGGTCGAGGACCCTCATCCGGCCAGCCGGTCGGCAGGAATCTACATCCATCAACTCAGCACGCATCAGGCTGCCGCTCAGGTGCAAGGCCCAGACCCCCATCCGGCCAGCCGGTCGGCAGGACTCCAGGTGCATCAACTCAGCACGCATCAGGCTGCAGGTCAGGCGCAGGTCACAGACCCCCATCCGGCCAACCGGTCGGCAGGACTCCAGGTGCATCAACTCAGCACGTGTCAGGCTGCAGGTCAGGTGCAGGTCTCAGACCCCCATCCGGCCAGCCGGTCGGCAGGACTCCAGGTGCATCAACTCAGCACGCACAAGGCTGCAGGTCAGTTGCAGGTCCCAGACCCACATCCGGCCAACCGGTCGGCAGGACTCCAGGTGCATCCACTCAGTGCGCGTCAGGCGGCAGGTCAGGTCCCCCATCCGACCAGCCGGTCGGCAGGACTCCTGCATCAACTCACGCATGAGGTGCAGGTCCAAGACCAGGTGCATCAACTCAGCACACCTGCTGGTCAGGAGCAGGTCACAGACCCCCATCCGGCCAACCGGTCGGCAGGACTCCAGGTGCATCCACTCAGTGCGCGTCAGGCTGCAGCTCAGGTCCCCCATCCGACCAGCCGGTCGGCAGGACTCCAGGTGCATCAACTCAGCACGCATGAGGTGCAGGTCCCAGACCCCCATCCGGCCAACCGGTCGGCAGGACTCCAGGTGCATCAACTCAGCACGTGTCAGGCTGCAGGTCAGGTGCAGGTCTCAGACCCCCATCCGGCCAGCCGGTCGGCGTCAACTCAGCACGCGCGAGGCTGCAGGTCCCAGACCCCCATCCGGCCAGCCGGTCGGCAGGACTCCAGGTGCATCAACTCAGCACGCAGGTGCAGGTCCCAGACCCCAGGTCAGGTGCAGGTCCCAGACCCCCATCCGGCCAACCGGTCGGCAGGAGTCCAGGTGCATCCACTCAGTGCGCGTCAGGCGGCAGGTCAGGTCCCCCATCCGACCAGCCGGTCGGCAGGACTCCAGGTGCATCAACTCAGCACGCATGAGGTGCAGGTGCAAGACCAGGTGCATCAACTCAGCACACCTGCTGGTCAGGAGCAGGTCACCGACCCCCATCCGGCCAACCGGTCGGCAGGACTCCAGGTGCATCCACTCAGTGCGCGTCAGGCTGCAGGTCAGGTCCCGCATCCGACCAGCCGGTCGGCAGGACTCCAGGTGCATCAACTCAGCACGCATGAGGTGCAGGTCCCAGACCCCCATCCGGCCAGCCGGTCGGCAGGACTCCAGGTGCATCAACTCAGCACACCTGCTGGTCAGGAGCAGGTCACGGACCCCCATCCGGCCAACCCATCGCCTGAACTCCAGGTGCATCCACTCAGTGCGCGTCAGGCTGCAGGTCAGGTCCCCCATCCGACCAGCCGGTCGGCAGGACTCCAGCTGCATCAACTCAGCACGCGTGAGGCTGCAGCTCAGGTGCAGGTCCCAGACCCCCATGTGCATCAACTCAACACGCATCAGGCTGCACATCAGCAGTCAGTCAGCGCGCGTCAGGATGCAGGTCAGGTCCCCCATCCGACCAGCCGGTCGGCAGGACTCCAGGTGCATCAGGCTGCAGGTCAGGCGGCGGCAAGTCAGGTGGTAGGTGAACTGCAGGTGCATCACGCAGACAACCAGCCACCCAGCACAGATGCATCAGGTTGCAGGTCAGGTGCCCGATGTATCAGCTCTCCCTACAGCTATCCGCTCGGCAGGACTCCAGGTGCATCAGGCTTAGGTGCCCGCAGTGCCAGGTCTCCAGGCGCATCAGGCGGCAGGTCAGGTATGCAAGGTCAATCCAACTGCCCGGTCAGCGTACGTTCATCAGGCTGTAGTACCAGGTCTCGAGCAAGCAGCAGAACTCCTGGCGCATCAGGATGCAGGTCATTCTGTGACATGCCCGTACCCTTAGGCAAAAGGAAGCATACCCCTTCCACTCCGCCCAAAACTCTGTCACTGCACAACCTTGTCAGCCCCCCACGGCCGCCGCTGCCTCCTGGCACTGAAAGCCGGCTCATTACAGGAGTACACCCCGACATGATTTGGACTGTGTCCCAGGGCATCAACATCTCAGACTACTGCCAGGCCATGCCACCCTCGAAACACATCCACCCTACTGCCAGAACATTTGTCGGCCTTCTGCCTAAACACAATAAAGTCGACCGGGTTGAAGCACTCATGTTCTACGTGGACGGGGCCTATTGGCCTACGTCCGGTAGGGGGGCTTGGGCTGTTGCTGCGGTAGGCTGGATTCAGGGTAAATGGCGTTGGGTAGGCTACTTAACTGGTGAGCTCACTGACGAAATATGGGGCCCTGGGGAAAGATCAGCTTTTCAGCCTGAACTCTGCGCGCATCTGGTCGCGCAGACCACAGCCATCGCGGCGGGCGTGCCATTCACCTTGACTTATGACTCGACGTCAGCAGCTGACTGTGCCTGTGCCCTCTCTGCCTGCCGCGCAGACTACGCCCTCACTGAGGCCATGGTCACTACTTTTGCCATGCTGACATCTACAGGTCAGGTCAGAGGCTACCAGCACACAAAGAGCCACCAAGGTCACCCAGGCAACGAGCTAGTTGACTCCCTTGCCACGGCATGCCTGGCTGAGGTGCTGCCCCCAGAAGGCAGCTTGGTCCCATTCCTCTTCACTGCCATTCACTGCCCCGAGTTTTCCTGGCTTTGGCTGTCAACCGTGCACCATTACAGCAGCTGGCCAACCATTGGCCCAGATGGGATCACGGAGCCCAGCCAACCGCAAGGCTTATGTATGCATGTTGCATCACCGAGCAGATGGGCGCCTGCTGACACCAGCACAATTGAGCCGCAGCAGTTTCGCCTCGACGTGTGCATTGCATCCTACAACGCCATGACCCTGGCTTCTGCGTTGCAACGTCAATGTGTGCACCACGCCATGAAAAGTTTAAAAATCGGGGTATTGGGCCTGCAAGAGACTCGAGAAGACACCGAGCCATTGGTGGTTAGGCAGGGAGTTTGGAGGTTTGCTAGCAAGGGTGAGCATGGGCAACTAGGTTGCCAACTGTGGGTTGACTCCACTCGGCCCGCTGGATTCACCGCTTCGGGCGACAGTGTTCCATGGCAGCTTGACACCTTCGCCGCGCGTTTCATGCACCCACGTCTCCTCCTCATCTCTGGCCAATTTGGCAGCATCAAGTGTTTGTTTATAGTCGGCCACGCTCCGACCTCTACGTCCCCGGACGAGGTCATCAATGCGTGGTGGGACTTGCTGCGTGAGCAGGTCAACCGCCACATTGCGGGACACGTGCCACTGTTCATGCTTGACGCGAACGCACGCTTCGACAAATCGGAGGAGCCGACCGGACTAAACGCTCACCGTCTGGCCGCTTGCCTCGAGGCCTGGCATCTTGTGCGAACACCTGCCTGGGACAACGGACACGCCATCACCACGTGGCGGTCACCGAACGGCAAGCAGGCGTGTCTTGACTACGTCTGTGTGCCGGCGGACTGGCAGGTTGGACTCAACCGCCCCAGCACGCACGACATTTTAGATGTTAATGCCGGTATTGACCACAAACTACTAAAGGTTTCTGTAGCGGCCAGCTTAATTGTCGCGCGCAAAGCTCGGTTGTCCAGACTGGATGTTGAGGCCATCCACTCGCCTGCTGGGCGCATTGAATTGCAGCGCATCCTCAACCAGGCACCACAGGTTCCATGGGAGGTCGATGTAGATGACCATCTGCATGTGCTCAACTGCTACCTTAACAGTGCCATCGCGCAATCTTTCGTGCGGCCGCGAGCGGCCGCCCGCTCGCCGGTCCTGTCACATCACACCGTGACCTGCCTTCAACAGCGAAGAGCTGCCCGTTTCGTGCACCGATGTCGTAGGCAAAGGCTGGAAAGGCTACAGGCATACATCTACTTCATGGCTTGGCGAGAAGCATGTGGCCACGGCCAAAGCAGGCAGCTGCAACACGCAAGCGCCCGCCAGCAACGGCGCAACCTGCAAAAAAAGCTTGCTGAGCATTTCCTGCGCATGCGTGAGCTCAACAAGGAGCTAAAACGAACCCATCAGAGGGACCAGGCCGTTTTCGCTCGACAGATGTATCAAGACGCTAGGGCCAAAGGGCCGCGCCATTTGGCACATGTCCTGCGTGCTGTGCTACGCACCGGAAGACGCTACAAAGCACCGCGGATGGCGCCCGTTCTCGAGATAGACGGGCAGATGGAGCAAGACGCTGCTCGAGTCGCCCTGGCATTCGGGGACCACTTCGCCAAGGCAGAAAGGGCAACTTCGCGCCAGCTCCAAGAGGTCTTGCTGGAAAAGCGGGCCCAGGCCAGGCCTGCTGAAGAGGTCGACCTCCACTCGGCCCCTACTCTTGCCCAGCTCACACGTGCGTTTGCTTCCATGCCCGCGCGTCGGGCACCCGGCCTCTCTACTTTGCCCCCCGACATTTACTGCCGAGCGCCTTTGCAAATGGCCCTCGCACATATGCCACTCATGCTAAAACTTGCAGCCCGGGACGTCGCCCCCATGTTGTGGTCCGGCAGCATTGCCATTCCAATGGCTAAGCCCAACAAAGCCCACCATGAGCCCGCTGGATTCCGTAGCATCTCCCTTTTTGAGATTTCCTCGAAAGCTGTAGCTAGATCCCTCAGACCAGAGCTCAGCAAAGGGCTCGAGGCAATCACTTTGGAGGGCACTGCGGGCGCTAGAACCGGCATTGCGCTGGGCGTCCCAGCACTTGTCACGCAGACGCACCTGCAGCGGTTGCACCGTTCTGCAACAAGCGGAGCAGTAGTGTTTGTGGACGGTGCCAGCGCCTTTTACAGCACTCTCCGAGAGTACCTTCTTCGAACTGACGTGCAAAATGCTGAGGCGTGGCTCGACGACATGCCCATAAGCCTGGAGCTACGTCTGAGAATAGGCAGAGTGCTGAGATCCGGCAGCCTCATGAAGGAAATTGGGCTTCCTGAAACCACTCAACGAATGCTGGAGGCCCTAATGCGCGGCACATGGTTCACCGTCAATGCCGAGGACACCTCGGTGAGGGCCACGCTAGCAGGCACATCGCCCGGTAGCCCAGTCGCCGACAGTCTATTCCAACTAATTTTCGTTCTCTCGCTTCGTGGCATCTCTGAACACCTTGCTGCTATGGGCATAGGGGCCCAAATCCACGTACCTGGCCACGTGGAGGACACCCCGCTCATACCCACGTGGATGGACGACATAGCTGTCCTCATCCAGGTCACCCGTGCCAACGAGCTGATACGGGCGGTCAGTGCCACATCAGCGGTAGTAAAACAGCAGTTGGCCATCATCGGGGTCAACATTAACCTTCAGCGCGGCAAAACAGAAGCCATGCTCGTGTTCAAGGGGCCACAGGCAAAAGCTGAGAGACACCGTCTCTGGATAGAGGACAATGGTGTCATACCCTTCAAAGTGCCGGGCGAGATGGATAGCCACATATGCTGCACCGACCAGTACGTGCACTTGGGCTCCCTTCGTACGTGCAGCGCCGCCGACTGGAAAGACATCGACAGAAGGGCAAAGCTGGCGGAGCCAACCTTCGTCAAGGTCAGGGCGCATATCCTGCGCAACCACAACCTGACGTGGGACGAGCGCAAAGGCCTTTTGATCTCCCTTGTCCTCAGAAAGTTCATGCATGGTGCCAATACCTGGACACTAAAGACGCAGAGGGAAAGGGCCAAGTACGAATCGTCCTACATGTCATTTGTCAGGCGAGCGATGCGGCCCATGACAGGGCTATCAACAAAATTATTGTCGGACGAGCAAGTGTGTGACTACCTACAGGTCCTGCAGCCGCTGCAGGCCTTGGCAGTCGAGCGGGTGCGCCTGCTGTTGCAGATAGCCCACGCTGGCCCCAGACAATTGCAACTGGCTTTGGTTGCTGCGCAGGCTTGGATCGTTGCAGCATGGCATGATCTGCAGCTGATCGGACGCCTTGTCGGAGAGAACGTGCCTGAATGTCCCATGGAGACGCCGTCTTGCATGAAGGCCTGGAATGACATTTGGAAAACACCAGCGGCCACGGCGCGCTTTCTCCGCCAGGCCCGCGGCAAATGGTTGCAGATAGCTGGGGTTGCAAGGCCCGCCGTCAAGGCAAAGGCAGAGGCGATTCGCGGCATTGATGAGACACCGGCGTTTTTAATTAAACTTCGGGGTGATCAGAGCAGCCAACCTTTTGCCTGTCAGATTTGCTCACGCAGCTTCTCCAAGGCATGCGCACTGGCCTCGCACATGGCCAAGACCCACCAGCAACCAGCGCTGGCGACCCGAATAAGAGTAGGGTCCACCTGCGAGGTGTGCCAGCGACAATACTGGACATCCAAGCGTCTGAGAGAGCATCTTAGGCATTCGCTCCGCTGTTGCCGCATCTATCATCAAGCCGACATGGCTTCAGACCTGGCTGACAAGCCAGACAACGCGCACCTGCCTCAGACGAGGCTGATAGGCCCGCAGCCATGGTGGGCCACGCAGGCACCAGACAAGTCTCCCACTCCGCCCGATGTCGCTCTGGCAAGTACCCCCACCACCCGTGATACGCTGCTAAGCTCGTTTTGCCAACTTGCTGACCCTACGCAGCTTCAGGGTTTTTTCAATGTTTGGGTTGGTTCGGTTGAGGAAAGCCCCAAAGCGACAGAAGAAAAGTGGAGACCCCCAGGCCCCTGTGCCAACAGTGTACAGCAGTTGGCCATGTTGGGCATGATCGTGTTTGACCCAGTACAGCAGGGTCGACAGTTTGCTTCCTTACAGCAAGGCAAGTGCAAGGCCGTTTGCACAGGGCAGCACTTACTAGTTGGGGAAGCAGCTGACCTCACACTCGAGAGGTGTCACGCCTGGCTCTCAGCTATTGAGGGCGCCTAGGCGCTTGCAAGTTGAATTTATGGCGCGCCCGACTGGGCTCTAGCTACGGCGGCAGAAACCCTACACCCTAAACCCTAAACCCTAAACCCTAAACCTCAAACCCTAAACCCTAAACCCACTAAGCCCTATGTTAGCCCCTCGAGGCGCACCGTACTCCCGCTCGTTGATGGCCAGGGCCCTTTCCAGGAGCTCCTTCTGCTTGTTGATGTTGCCCAGTCGGTCGTACCTCCCGCGGTGAGTTTAACTTTACTCTTTTTCTTTTTAAAAGTAAGTTTGTTGTTAATTTCATTTTTGAAGCTCCTTGGCCATATTTGGTTGAGGGTGCAGGCTTTTGGGCTTTATGGCTCGGGGTTGAGGATTTTGGCGTTCAGAGCCGATACTTGGGTGTCTTCAGCCCAGGAATGCCAAGGACGAACAGCGCAGGAGTTCGGGGTTCGGATGTCTAGGATACACCCTGGACCCTAGAAGAGCTATAAGGTTGAACCCCTTTGCCTACAACCCGACACCCTGAAACAAAAACAGATCTGCCGCATCTGCCCAACCGAAGGGAGTGCCTGAGGGTAGCGCGCAGCCCATCTCTTTCTCCCTCACACTCCGGCTGCCAGTGTGAGCGAGTTGGAAAGCATTCAACGCATTCAAAAGCCTTTAGGGTTTGGATTTATGAAGGCCGGTGGCTCCTTTATCTGTTGCCCCTTATACCTTAATATAGCCCCTAGATACCCTAATAAGAAAACCGAAGATATGCACTTTAAAACAGAAACTCTACTTAACGAGACCACCAGCCGCATAAGGTTCGGAGCTTAGGGTTTAGAGGGCCGATGCAACCCTGAAATCCTGAACCCCTACACCCCTGAACCGCGGAACCCTAAACCCCAAACCCCTGAACCCTAACGCCTAAAACCTGAACCTTAAACCCTAAGCCCTGAACCCCTAAACCCTGAGCCCCTAAACCCTGAACCCCTAAACCCTGAAACCCTCAACCCTGAACCCTAAACCACCTAAACCCTGAATCCGTAAACCCCGTAAACCTGAACCCCTAAACCCCCAAACCCTAACCCACTAAACCCTAAACCCGAAACCCTAAACCCTAAACCATAAACCCCTAAAGCCATTCACTCCAGGAGCCATAAACCCCATGCGCACGCATTTCCCAGGTTGGAGAGCGTCGTGGCGACATCGCAGTGGTCAGGTCCGAACTCGCGCTCCTGACTAGCTTGTGTGCTCCAATAAGACTTCAGGGTTTATGGGGTTTTTGGGGTTTAGGATTTAGGGTTGTAGGGATTCAGGGTGCAGGGTTGAGAAATTACTGTAGGGTTCAGACCGTAGGGCTGATAGGGTTTGAGGTTAGGGTGTTTGGGGTTTACAGGGTTGAGGGTTGGTCCAACTCAAAACCCAGAACTCTAAACCCTGAAGCCTAAACCCTGAACCCTGGGCCCTAAACCCTGAACTTAGACTCCCTTGTTGCAGTTTAGGGCGTCGGGTTTAGGGCTTTAGGGCCGGGGGGTTCCGGATTTAGGGCTCAGAAGTGTATCTTAATAGCCCACCCAAGATTTACTCTGTAACAGGGCTCAGGGTACATGTACAACTCACAAGCTCCCTACTAAGAAACATTCAAAGAATTGGAGCTACTCGTTGCTTCATGGCGTGTTGACAGCAAACCTACCCGCCAAAAACCACAGGAAAACAACAGTTTGCGGCTTTGCACACGGTCACGAATCCCGTCAAGGGCGCATTAAGCGCTTATAAGGCCTCAAGACCCTTAACCTTCCAGTCCTGGATTTCCAGGGCCATTTCTAGGTGGTCACGCTCGGCGACGGCGTTGCCGCACAACCCGTACCTCACTTGTCCGAGGTGTACATTATTTGCAGTACTGCTACGGAGTTGGGGTACTGAGTTTAGGATTTAGCACATGATTAAGAAAATAGGCACTCCGAAACCCTGTAACTCTGAACCCTAAACCCTTTAAGAGTGGTTTCCGGCTGCCTTTCGAGTGGAACCTCGGAGCGTGCCCAGGGAGCCCCAAACAGTGCCCGGGCTTGTGTGGCAGATTGGGGGGTTTACGTGTTTATAGGTTTTAGTTGAGGTTAGACCCTAAAATAGACCCCCAAATAGTAGGATTCCCTTATAACAAGGACCCTAAGAAAGTACCCCTCATTTCCGAAACCACCATATCCTGCACGGCTCAGGAATTGAGTGGGGTGGTAGGTTGCAGCGTGGCCCCTCGAAGCTCAGGCAAGCCACGCCACACCGAGGTTGTGCAATGCAGCGCCGACGACCTGGTGTTGGAGGGTTGGATTTTGGGGTTGCTTAGGGTTGAGGTTTTAGGGTTAGGGTTAATTATGGGTTTAGGATTTAGTTTTTGGGGTTTGGGTTGGGGCTTGTAAGGTTTAGGATTTAGGGTTTGGGGCTGGAGATGTGGGATGAGGGCCTATAGAGTCTTCCTGGTAACGCTACCTCCCTTGCAGCCCATCCTTGATACATAGGGCTGATGCGGGCATCATTCGTGTTTCATTCGGAGGGATTTCTTTCGGGGTTGGATTAGGGTCCCAACCCCCAGCCCCAGGCCCTGAACCCCCTTCTTTCAGGCATTCAGCACCTCCTTTGTCTGCCTGAAGTCCTGGGCACTGCCACATTGTACCCAGGGGGGATACTGCAATGCGTATCGCGTCCAGCCGTGTTTGCCGGCGGTCACTTGGGGCCCCTTATTCAGAAGTAATTCTCGGGCTTGCCTCGTCTGCTTAGAACATCTTTAGGGGGAAGAAACGGATCTGAGAAGTTGGCTTCTCATCCCAACCCCACTCGGCCAGAGTGTAGCATTCTTGGAAGGGCGATCATTCAAGGCTTGGGGATGGCGGGGTCGCATGGCTAGCACACACAAGGGTGTTCCCCAAGGCCCCTTGAAAACCCCAAAGTTTACCCCACAGGCCTTCACGATGACAGAAATGTCCAAGACATCTTCTACGGCCCTTCAACCCTGGCAAGCGCGGATAAACCGAAAACCCGGGCAGCCTAACTAAGTGCATGAGGCCCTATAAACCCTAGACCCTAAACCGCCTAAACCCTAAACCCCCAAAAAACTCCAGATTTCCGAGTGGCGGGGTGCTCTTCCCCATACCGCGACCGCAACCTGCCGAGATGCGCAAAGATTGGGACTTCGGGGTTTGTAGTGTCGAAGAGCTTCGGGCTTTATAGGCTTAAGACATTCCCCTAAACCCTAAACCCTAAACCCTGAACCCTAAACCCTAAAGCCTCAACCCTAAACCCTAGCGGGGTTTGGGGCTCAAGAGCTGTCAAGGCTTGAGTCTGAGAACTTTTGCATGGCCCAGAGGTTGCGAGACCCGAGATGCAAGGGAGAAGTTTTAAATCCAAGCCAAAAGTCCCGGCGGCCTACATGCACTCCAAGCTGAAAAACCAACACCCCTGACCCAAAACAAAAACGAACAGACCCGGGGCCAGGGCTCGGCAAGGGCGACTCCACCCAACCGCACAGCCGCAGCTCCTCTCATAGGGTGTTGGGGTTTGCGGGCATTCTCGGCCTAAACCCTGATGCCCCCAATGCAAGCCCTCAACCCCTGAACCGTGCAGCCCGGAAGCCCTAAACCCCAAGCCGGCGAAACCTATGGTTGGGGCTCAGTCCGCCTCCAGACTCTGCAATAGGGGAACACGGACTGGGAGAGGGAGGGAGGGACAGAGAGAGAGAGAGAGGGAGAGAGGGAGAGGGAAAGAGAAAGAGAAAGAACAATTTAAAGAGCAAGAGAGAGAGGAAGAGAGATAGAGAGAGAGAGAGAGAGAAAAAAAAAAAGATACAGAGAAAGAGAAAGAAAAAGAGAGAGAGAGAGAGGGACCCTAGGGTTTAGGGGTTTAGGGCTTGGACGTTTAAGATTTTGCCCGACTATACAATCTCCAGTCTTCCTTCCTATCAACCCCCCAGCCCCCACCTCTCTCAGCGCTGATGGCTGAACGCTATAGGATTTGGGTTTTAAGGTTTGGGCTGGGGCTCAAGGCCAGCGAGTGCCCGTGCTCCTTCGTAGTGGTGCTTGCAGGTTGGGCAGGCCAAATCCAACCTCGGACAGCTTTGGTGCTAGTGAAGGCTCTCTGAAATCCCTCGAGGCCTCAGGGCTGAAGAGTTCCGTTCATCACGGCTGCCTCGAGGCTGCCTCGAAACTCGTTTAAGGTTTAGGGGCTTAATGCTTGAGGTGTAGGACCCTGGTACCCAAACTCACTTGCAAGTGAGTTTAGGTTTAGGGAACCCCTTAACCCTAAACCCTTCCGAAATATTTGTAAAAAAAAACCCAAACCCCTCGGCCCCAAACCCCCCAACGGTGAGGGCGTGAGAGCTGAGCTCCCCCACAGCATCCCCCGCGCGCGAAAGGCCGCCTCGATACAGTCGAGGTGGACGTACCTGAGGGGCCGGGGTCGGATTTAGGGGTTCAGGGTTTAGGGTTTAGGGTACAGGGTTTAGGGTTTAGGGGTTTAGAGATCAAGGCTTGGGGGAGGCTCAGAGTCTATCACCTCCACCCCAACTAATCCTTCATCGAGTGCAAGGGGTTGAGGTTTCAGCAGGGATGCCCTAAACCCGCTAAACGACCCAAGCTGAGGCCGTGGCTTGGCAGAGCCGCGACACACGCAGGGGCTGTACAGCTCACCACTTTCCTGTCCGACAATGCGAATGCGGTAGGAAGGAAGGAAGGTCTATTGGAGTCTGGGGTTTGGGGTTCGGAGTTTGAAGTTGAGGCTGGAGCTCGAAGCCCGCTGTCCCCGCCCCACCCTACAGAACTCTAAATTGCATCCGCGCGGGGGGTCCCCCTTGAAAGAACACAAGTGCACCGGCTCTTACTTGTCCAGTTTTCGTGGGAACGAGAGCTTAACCTTCGGGACGATACACAGCTATTTTATGCACCCCGCGACAGATACATGAAGGTTACTTAGACTTCCAGCACTCGACAGGGATGCAAAACACAAGCGCGCCCGATGGACTCGATCACGACAGTTGTGCTGATAAGCAGTTGAAGGACCCTACACCGGACTCTTGGGTGCTGTTCAATACCCTCAACCCACTCTGACCCTCAAACCTAAACTCAAAAGACTGCTACTCTGCGCCCCACGTTCAAAGCCCCGAGCCCGAACACCCAAAGCCGTCCTCACCCCTGAAGAATTTCAATGCATCAACCCTCTCGCCACCAGCTGCCTCGAGGCAAATTCTGCAGGGGTGCTCCGGCTGCACCTGCAGGAGCACACACACACGCCAGTGCTACTCATACTCATGAGCCTTGCGCAGAAACCCCCTACCGGGGCCAAGGGCTTAGCATTTGGGTCACAAATGCCTAGAAGAAGCCATATAACTGAAAATGCTGTGCGACCATGGCCCTGAAAGACGCCCGTGGTCTACTCACCAATAACAGCAGAATAAAACCCTGCCTCGGGATTAAGAATTCGCATGGGCTGAGCGTCGCGGACTTCGGGTTACTTAGGGTTTCGGGCTTCCGGACTAGGATGGGCGTGTATCTGAACCCTAAACCCTACACCCCTACCTCAGGGCTAAACAAAACAAATTGATAGACATGAAAAAAATTGCCCCAGGCGAATGTAAGAAATGATAGGCATCATCAAGAAACAAGTGGGAAAGCAGCCAAATGCTATGAAACGAGCATTTTTGGCTGTTCGCGGGCTCTAGATTCTAGATGATGAGAAATAAAGCATTTCTAGCCCCATAAGCCCTATAAACCCGATTATAAGCCCCATAAGCCCTAAGCCCTGAGCCCTAAGCCCTAAGCCCTAAACCCTAAACCCTAAACCCTAAACCCTGAACCCTGAACCCTGAACCCTACACTCAATGCAGATCAGACTCTGAAACATCTGCACCCCAGAAAGCCCTCCACCCTAAACTCTGTCTGGTGCCACCTCAGCTGCAGCACCATGGGGGAGGCCCTCAAAGGGCCGGGGAGCGGCACCATCCTGACAGGCAGGCTGCTTTAGGGGGGTTTAGGGTTTAGGGTTTAGGGTTTAGGGCTTAGGGTTTCGGGTTTAGGGTTTAGGGTACCTTGTTGGGGTCCTCATTATGAAGGGGATCCTACTCTTTAGGGTCTATTTTGGGGGGTAAACCCCCATATGAACCTACAGAGGCTTAGGGCTGGCTTATAGGGTTTAGGGTTTTCTGCAGGGTTTAGGGTTTAGGGTTTAGGGTTTAGGGTTTAGGGTTTAGGGTTTAGGGGTTCGGGGTTAGGGGTTTAGGGTGCAGGGTGTAGGGTTTGACCCTCAACCCTGAACCCTGAAATCCCTAAACCCATGAACCTCGCAACGGGGAACTTCTGCGAGAACCCGAAAACCAAGCGCAGGCCCACCTCCGAATTAAACCCTAAACCCTGAAACCTAAACCCTCATTAAACTAATTATGTGGCGACTTGGGCGTGTGGGGGGGTTTTGGAATTCGGGGGCGTAGGGCTTACGATTTGGGGCGGTCTAACTAATGTTTCCACCCAAGAAACACTGAATGGCTGCTTACGAAATAGACTTGGATGAGTGGAAAAGACAAGGATTCCACACGATGGCAAATTAAACATGAATATGTAGCACGTAGTGATTCCCTTAAACATGGATTTATGAAGGGCTTACTGTGGCAGCTACATGCACCCACGGTCGTGTAGTTTCAGGTACACTTGACAATGGATTCGGCATTGGGGGCAAAAGCAGGTTTAAGGGCAAAAGAGGGGAAGACTACTTCAACTTCTGGCACAAGACTTGGCCGACTGCGCCAGGATGAAAGTTCGTCGCATCTGGCAGTTATGCTAACATGTACTTGCAAACCCCCGATCCCCCACAGACTCCTCCACACAGCATGGCTTTGGGGCATGGAGGATTTAAATTGCGTCTGAACCAAATAGTAATATATGTTT